CCATAACGATAATATTAATTTGAAGAAACCCGCTTTGAATAATTTGCATCTTCAGCAAGTGGAGTTTGTAAAATTCGGTACTTTTGAATTTTTTTCACATTTTCCTTGCAAGTGAACTGAAAACGATTGATACAGAATTTTCCATTAACTATGGTTTTCATTTGAAGATAACTGATCTGAGGTAAAAATCGCGCTGCTTTTTTAGGGGCAGAATAATCTGCATCTTCAATAAACGAATTTTGCAAAATTCTTCACTTTTCATTTTTAAGTTTTTTAACTGAAACCCGTTGAATATAGAATTTTCGAGTAATGACATTCTTCATGTGAAGAAAACTGATTTGAGGCAAGGAAACGCGCTGCTCCGTTTCGAGACCGAATAATTTGCGTCGTCAAGAAGTAGAGCTGGTAAAATTCTGCACTTTTTAATTTTCTAATTGTTTTTCTCTTAAATTTTCTACCTGAAACGCACTGGATCTAAAATTTCTTAAATTGAAGATAACTGTATCTTTAGGGATCGAATTGTCTGCTTCTTTATCAATAAAACATGCTGAAACGAAATACAGAAACAAGTTATTACAGGCAACAGCAGGGTTTCAGACTGAGAATCTGATGACGACTGGAAAAACCCGAAAGGTACGCAATAAATTTCAAATTTCCATTTGCAATGAATGAATGTAGGTACATGAAGATTTGAACGGTCAATGAAACAAAGATCGGAAAATGCGCTTGCGTGCTTGAACTCTGGTATAACTATATCGATTTTGAGGCTTCATTGAAAATTTCTGTATGGGGATGTTCTTGAAAAAATTTCGTATAATTAGAAAAACTTATATGGAACGTTCAGGTTTAAACCATCAGGACTTTTGTTAATTTTGTAAAAAAGTTTCTTTTGTTCCAAAGCTTGAAGTTCTGAATGTTTAATAAATAATTGGAAATTTTGCTCAAGTCGGCCCTTAAATCGGCAATTTCGCAATAAGACCCCAGAAGCGGGATTTTGAGGAGTAACGTCCTGCATTTCCTCGTTCTATTATTAGATCAGGGCCATTCTATTTTTAGCAGGAAAATGTAGGTTAGTGAGGATCGTGCGCGCGTTTATGACGTCATCGACATGCCCTTCAATTTATCCGAGTCATTTTTTTGGAAATTTTTCTGAAAATTATCATCTCAATCTATTTATGAAAATTATCTTCTATATGCGTGGATGGTTTAGGGACGATTTTTTTTAATTGCACACATTTTTCCTTAAATTGTACAAGTGAGCGTCTCGAGCAGATAATTTCAAATTCAAACTAATCCAATTTCAAAGTCCTGCGGTTCAAGCGTGGGCCAAAGAGGAAAAATCCTGTCCACCTACCTTTGCATTGAAAAATCACCACGCTTGGTGTAGGCTGGGGAAAATTTTCTTATTCAACTTGGAGGAAATGTCGGGGATGTTTTCGCCCAAAAACGAGTAGCTTTCAACTGTTGGAAGGCATTTTCCATCTGACCACAGATTGCGTCGTCACTCCGAATTTTCCTGATTTACTACAGAGCGCCCACACACATTTTCCCGAGCTTTTCCTGTACTATTCGTACTGGGGTAGGTTAAGGAATCACAATAAATAACGGGCCACTGAATCCTGCTCTAACGTTTTGGCTCGTTAATGGGAAAGTGGCCATCATGCTCTTACAAATTATGCGTGCTTAATGGAAAAATACACTTACAAGTTTCCTAATGGATGATGATGATGATGATGATCAATGAGTTGATGATTTCTACTACCCGTTGATGGAACTGTTTGGTCACTGTTAAGGAAGGTCTGCAGCCGAAACATCGGCTGCAGCTCCACATGCGGAACTGAACAGAATTTTCTTGTGAAATGCCGAGATGAATCTCAAAACGGGCCAGTCGGTTTAACTGAATGAAGCGCTCACGCTATTGGCCCGCCGGCAATGACGTCATTACATTGATTGTTAAACTCTCACGTGCTCTTGCGGATTCATAATGTTTGCAGGTAACTGTCCGATTTTCCAAACCGGGGGGAACTAAAATGGGGACCAGCCAACACTATTTTTAGATTTAACATGCAAGTTTTGCTATTTTTATCGGTGTAAAATACTATTTTTTTACATTAAATATTGATGTTTCCTGGTTATTGCGTGCATAATTTCGGAGAGTATGATGGAAATAAACTTCCACGTCTCAGTTATTTTTTATGTAGACTGTATTTCTACCGATGTTTACCAATCAGGAAAAATCAGGCTTTTATGCGATATTGGTATTGAACGCGTTTAAATTAATCAATTGCGAGGAAAACGTGAAAAGGATTAAAAAGTGACAAATTTTGCAAACTCAGCTCGCTCAAAGGCATGTTATTCTGGTTTTTAAAGAAGCAGTGCGATTTTTCGCTTCAAACAGGGTTGCAATGCAGATAATTGTTACGATGTAGATTATTCTGTCTTTAAAAGAAGCATCGCGTTTCTTCGTTTCAAGCTGATTTTTTCGGTTTAGCATAATCCCTATAATTTTTTTTTGCATCAAGTACGCTTCAACTGATAGTTTTCAACAGACGCTGATAATTTCGTTAAAATTTCGATAAAAAAATGTCAACTTGCTCCTTGCGTCGATTTCGAAGATAATAAAAAGCGAGTAATTTTGTTGGATTTTATGAAACTTTGTGCATGTACAGAATCGAATATCTGCTAAATACACAAAAAATTTCAAATTGCTTATTGTTTTAAGTTTAAAGATACGATTTTTTTAAGATAGAGCGTATTTGAGTGGAAATTCTAATTTTGAGACTCAGACTTGATCAAGTTGCACAAAATCAGATATTTTGACCATTTTTATGAAACTTACACCATGTTTCGAACCCAATGTCTTTTTTGTGACATTAATTTGAAAGTTACGAATTATTTTAAGCGAAAACTCAGTTGACTGAAAACACTAATTTTGAGACAAACTGAATAAAATTAGAATTTTGTGCGATAAGACAAAAATATTAAATAGTTTCTTATTCTGGTTTGGAAGATACGACTTTTTAAAGACAGAGCGTTATTGACCATTTTGAGCCTCAGATTCATCAAGCCAAAAAAAATCAAAACCTCTTTCTGTTAAAACTTTTGTTGCTTTTAGAACCCAGTAACTCCTAAATATGAGAAAAAGCTCAAGCTTACTTTCGTATAGAAGACATAATTTTTTTAGTGCGAGAACGCAGTTGAGTGGTAACAAAAAAAATCAGTGTTGACACTTACATTTACCAAACTGGTAAAAATCCGAAATTATTTGTTTTTTTTTAAACGTTTTGCATGTGCAGAATTAAATGTTGCTAAATATGGCGAAAACTTGCAAATTGGTTGATGGTTTAATTTGAAAGATACGACATACATGTTTTATCAAATTGTTCAAAATAAGACATTTGGCAATCTTTTATGCAACCGTAAAGATGTTTACAGCCAAGAGTGTTCTAAAAATGTTCAAAATTTCAGAATGGGTTTTGCTTTAGTTAAAAAGTTACGAACTTTTAAAGGCGAGAGCGTGTTTGACTGAAAACTTTAATTTTAAGACAACTTGGACAAAATCAGAAATGCCGACAATTTTTATGGATCTCACGCCACAGTTAGCGCTAAATGTTATCGATAGATGGTGAAAATTTGAAATTCCTTGTTGTTTCAGTTTGAAAGATACGAATTTTTCCATACCCAGAACGCAGTTGACTAAAACCAATAATGTTGAGACTCTGGGTTCTATGCGAGTTTTATAAAACTATCAGCACCTCTAGAATCCAATGTTTTCTAGAGGTGGAAAAACTATTAAATTGTTTGTTGTTTGCGTTTAGAAGATACGATTTTTTTTAAAGAGATGGCGTAATTGACTGAAATCCTCGATTTTGAGACTCTGGATTTATTTAGTGGAAAAAATGGAAAACCTCGAGCTATTTTGCTAACATTTTCCGCGTTTTTAGAACCCAGCATCTTCTGAGGATGTAAAAAACTTCAATTAACTGCTTACTTTCGTTTGCGAGATATGAGTTTTTAAGGCGAGAACGCAGTTGAGTGAAAACATCAGTTTTGGAACTCAGATTTACCAAGTTGGCAAAAATCACTGTTTTTTTCGATTTTTATGAAACTTTTTGCATGTGCACAGACAAATGTCTCCTAAAGATGGTAAAAATTCCAAATTGTTTGCTGCTTCAGCAGGTTTTTTGTCAGTATTTTTTTTAAAGAGAGAGCGTATTTGACTGAGAACTAATTTTGAGACTTTTTTGAGACATTTATAAAGTTACCCAAAATCAGACGATTGGGAGACTTTTGTGAAGTTCTCAGGATGTTTAGAGCCAAATGTTTTCTACAAAGGGTAAAAATAAAATTTCAGGCAGTTTTTTGCTTTAGTTTAAAAGTTACGAACTTTTTAAGGCGAGAGCGTGCTTGACTGAAAACTAATTTTGAGACTCATACTTATCAAGTTGGACAAAATTAGAAATCCGGACAATTTTTATGTAACTCACGCTAAATGTTATCTATAGATGTTGAACATTTGAAACTACTTATTATTTTAGTTTGAGACACGAATGTTTTAAATCGAGAACGCAGTTTACTGATCAATTCTTAGACTCAGATTTATAAAGCTGGCAAGAATCAGGCTTTAGTGTAATTTTTACAAAACTTTCAGAATGTTTAGAGTTGAATGTCTTGTAAGTATACTGAAAATTTTTAATTGCTGCTTGCTTTCATTTCGGGTTATTATTTTTTAAATAAAGAGCGCACTTAACTATAAACTTTAATTTTGGGACTCAAATTTATCAAGCGCGATAAAAATCAACCGTTTAGGCCAATCCCAGGTAGTAGAAGATATTCGTACAATATTGGCTATATGCAACATACTGGATGGCTCATAAGAGATTTCAAATTAATATTCAACCCTAACAATGACATATTATTTTCAATTATTTTTTTGTGAGGAATCAGAATATTAAATAATGCACATATTAATTGAACAATACCCACATATATTAATTAAATAACAAACATTTTTTCTCACACGCATCATTTTTGTTCTGATATCGGATCCTAGAAATAAAATAAACTCAGTTAGATTTTACTAAAATTGCAAACCAAATAATGGCTATTTGTCTACTTGTATGAAACCATTATTAAACGAAAAAAAAACTCACCGGCCTGGACTTTCTTCCACCCTCCATCTCCAGCACTAGCCAGGGAAAATTCGATATATTTCCTGATATCTAGGTCGGTTAACATATAAGGCATCATTAGAAGCTTCATCACTCTGAAATTCTAACCCAAAGCTTTCAGGATTAGTGTTTTCACAATTGCGAAAATTGGGTTTATGCTTTTTAGCAATAGCTGTAGTTAAAGTATTAACTTCCTTCTCAAGTTGCCTTTTTATATACATCGATTTTTTCGATCTTGATGACCTGAAATTGATATTACATTGTATATGTTCTACAAGTACATGTATTTTTACAGAAAAAGGACAACATTCTCTAAAAAATGGAGATTAAACTTAATTTTCTATGTAAGTTATTAGATTACATTCGTTATTGTAGCATACAATAAATCTTACTTACATAATTATTTATTTTTAGGATTGTGCGAGTTTAAATGTAAAAAATATGTTTAATAAGCTTTAGAATAACAGTTTGTAACTAGTTTCAAAGCAGTTCAAATAAGACCCGGCATTGGTACGGTGGTACCTCATTTTACCTTACAAAATTAGCAAAACTCGAATAAAGCTCAGAGTTTTATAAACGTACGGCTTGTATGGATTATAAGCAACTGTACAACAAATACATGCCCTCATGTATATACATTATACATATAATAATAAATAGTTGTGAACTTATTATATTAAAAAGAGTAGGCAAAAAGATACCTATCACTATATTTATGTAATAATAATATGTACTTACCTACATGTTGAGTTACAGATTATTGCACAAAACACCGAAGTATGTAACTATTTACTATTTAGGTAGGTACAAATAAGTACACAACGCTAACCTCAAATAATAGTAGCTGAGTTCGATTGCTAAAGTTGACCCGTTCCGCAGGCGTGTTCGCGTGTTTATCCGACAAGCAGTTTTCAATATAGTACGCAATTAGATTTGCAACCGGTTTTTTGTTTCTATTTTTCTCTAACACTTTAAGAAATAAACACTTTAACTTTGATTATAAATCAGGCCAGGCCGTAAGATATTATTAATAATTATTACCTACTAAGACAATATTGTATGATTATTAATTATATCGAAAACGTTTAATTGGCATAGTATTGCTRTACAATATTGCATGTTAATCTTCAAGCAATACTGGAAATTAAAAATATTTTGCCAATATTGTATTTGCATAGATACATCAATATTGGTCAACAAAGCTATATTGGAGTAATATTGGCTAATAATTGACAATATTAACCCAACATAAAAATGCTCTGCCAATATTGTATAAATATATACCCGATATATGATGCTACATGGGATACGATTACTTTCCACATGTGTAGAACTGAGTCTCTCCTAAAGATGAGAACAATTTCAAATTGCGTTTTGCTTTGAATTTTGAGACTTGGATTACAAAACTTGGAAAAAATCAGCGTGATTTTTACAAAACTCAAAATATTTAGAGCCAAGTGCTCTCTAAAGATTGTAAAAATTTCAACAAATATCCCGGTTTAGTTTGGGAAATGTGATTTTTTAAATTAGAGAGCGTAGTTGAGTGAAAACTTTGATTTTGAGACTGATTTATTAAGCGCGAAAAAATCGAGATTTTGGCAATTTTAATAAACGTTTTCACATCGTGAGAGCTGCGTGTCTCCTAAAGATGGTAAAAGATCCTGAAGGCTCCTGGTTTTAATTTGAAAGGTACGAATTTTTCTAGGTGAGAACTCAGTTGACTTGAAAACATCAATCTGAGACTCAGATTTACCAATCTGGCAAAAAACACTTTTGTGCGATTTTTATTTTACTTTTGTCATCTGTAGAGCTGATCGTGGCCTAATGATGCTAAAAATTTAAACCTGCTTCTTCCTTCAGTTTGAAAAGTACGAATTTTTTAAAAGCGAGTGTGCAGTCGACTGAAAACTGCAATTTTGATACTCAAATTTACCAAATCGGCAAAAATCAGTTTTTCCAGCGACTTTAACAAAAATGTTCGCATGTTTAGAAGCAACAGTCTTCTAAATTCAGTGAAAATTTTAAGTTGCTTCTTTCTTTAACTCGAAAGGTACAATTTTTTCAATGGTTTCAATGCATTAAATTTTATTAAAGAACGGTGTGTCATAATTCTTCAAGTTATGTGGTCTTTAGTTCGATTAATCTCTGGATTTTTACTTTGAATTATGTTCATTTATTAAAAAATTATGACTGCTTCTCACATTTTTTTGTTAGGTTTTGACGACTGTGTTTGCAACTCAGATAAGAAAAAGGTTGCAATGATGGCAGAACCTAGAAAATGCCAATGCCTGTAACTTTATAAATCCCTGAAAATCTTTGCACATATTTTCCCTAAAGCGTATAGTATTTGCCTTCTTTTGCCGAAAAAAGCCAACCAAATTGAAGTGTTTTAAAGCAGAAAAAATATGTTTTTTCAGTTAAGGAGTAATTAGCAACTAAAGCCGTCTAATGTCGTGTTCGGCATATGCAAATAGGGCACAAAGCTTTGACCGACCCTGTAGCTACAACATTTAATACATTAACCCGGGCAATCACTAACAGTGGCCCCTTTCTCCACTTTCATGACGTCATTCTCCCTTACAAAGTGGGGGGATGCATCAATGCATCAATTTCCCCCTCTGAATAGAGGAAAGTCACAACCAAACAGTCACTTGGATTGAAGCAAAAAAATGATTTTTCCTTCGTTGCACTGTTGCAGTTTCTTTGCCTTCAGACCTTGCAGGGTTGGCTGGTTGGCTGGTTGGAGGGTTTGGGGGCAACATTTGGGGTGAGCGAGGTCATGGAACTTTGAAACACGTCCCCCACTACTGACCCAGTTTCCCCCTGACACATTTTGCAACAAGTATTGACGCATCGCCCCACCTCCGACCGGCCCAATGACGTCATTTGGGGGGACCGACATCCCCCCTTTTCTCGACCCGTTTCTCCATCAAAGTGCGCCCTACTGCATTCGAACCGTTTGCCAAAGCTGCGATTTTTTCTCTCTGGGTTCGAACTTTTCTCATTTTACCGGCGTGGTTTTCATAAATTTTGTTGCCATTTGATGGATTTTTACTGGATTTACAGATGTGGAAGTAGCATTTGCTCCCATTTAGCTTCTCTTTTAAAGAGAAAAGGACGCAGACGATTTTCGTGGGAAAAATTGATGCAGACTAGAATGTAAAATAATAATTCTACTTGTGTGCAAGTGTCGGCCAAAGATATGAAAAGTCAGGAACTCTTGTATAATCTCTTCCAAAAAATAACCAAAAATTTGTCACAATGGAATCCAAAAATGCCAGGCAAAATCGGTCAGAAAAAACTATCAAAGGGAAAATCTCCGAACTAAATCGAAGTAAAAAACTACATAACTTGAAAGACTATGACATACCATTATTTAAAGAAATTTAATGCTGGGAAAATCACAGTTTTTGCACAAATTGATGTTTTAACGCAACTGAATTCTCGCTTCAAACAATTCAGTTCGTCTAACCCAAAACAAGGAAAACCTTGAAGTTTTCCATTTTAAAAAGGCGAAAGTGGTAAAAATTACACTAAACCCTGATTTTTGTAAGTTTGATAAAACTCAGCCTTAAAAATGAATTTTCGGTCAATTGCGTTCTTGCCTTAAAACATTCGGATCTTCCAAACTGCATGAGGAAAAAATTTGAATTTTTCACCATCGTTAAAAGATGTCTGAATCTAAAAACGCTGAAAGATTCATTAAGCCACAAACAGCTTCACTGTTGCCAGCTGAATAAATATTTTTTCTCTTAATCTTAAGTTTTGTGTTAACGACGCCCTTTTTTAAATTGTCGGCTCTTCTAAGTTAAAGCAAGACGCTGTTTGAAATTTTCACGATATTTAAATGCCCCCAAATTGAAAAAAAAGTGGTTTTGCGTGTTTTTCTATTGCAGAACTTCACAAAACTAGAGAATTTTAATGCAAGTTCAGTCACAACAACGATTTTCTGCGTCATTCAAAGTTTCCTCAAGATTTTAAAAATTTGCAACTTTAGTCAGTTTTTTGCTGTTTTCGAAAACTTTCCTAAACACAAAATATCATAGAATAGGAAAAGTGACGACTTTTTAAGATTAGGGGTTCAAGGAAAAACTACAAAAAATTGTTTTTGCAAGACATTTTATTGAAAAACATTCCAAAACCTCAAAATTTTAAATCAAGTTAAGTCTCAGCAACCATTTCTGGCTCTTTGAAAGATTTCGCAAATATTGAAGAATCTTGCCAAAAAAATATTCGGGGGAATTGAGGGCAGTGTGTAATTTTAGTCAGTTTTTAGCCGTTTTCTCCAAAATGAAGATTCTAATCGAAAAAGTCATTCTTGGGAAGAAATTTTAAACGGCAAATTGCACAGAACAGTAAGAGTGACGACTTTTTAGGATTAGATGTTAAGGATTAGAAATTAAGCGAACAATCGAAAACGTTTACTCTTGAAAAACTCTCGGGAACATCACTGTGCATTCAATAGTAAAAGCACCAACTTGCCAAGTACGGAGGTATCACACATTTTTTTTCTGCCGATAAACTTTAAGAAAATCCATAAATTTGGACACTTTTGTAGCAAACATGGCAATTGTCAAAGCGTTTCAAAGCTCGGAAGCAAAATTAGTCACAAAACCGTATAGGGGAAGCTAGTTCAGTTGAGGCTTGAAGCCTAGTTGGAGACTTAGGTGAGTTTTAGATTTGTTTGCGAATTATGTCCAAACGAAGCCTACAATCGAAAAAGTCACTAGCGAAAATCTCCGGTACCCATATCTACAACCATTGGTGAACTTGGCTATTTTCAACTGCATGTGGTTGACGAAAAAACTGCAAAAACTGGCGTTTTGGGCGTTTTTTGTCGCTGAAACTGTCCAAAGATTTCCTACATTATTTCCACTCATTTGCCTTGGACGGATGGCGCAGTCGACTGGCTTTAAAACTTAGTACTTACTGCATTCTTGCCTTAAAAATTCACTTCTTCCAAGCGAGACGGAGGAGCCACTTGAAATTTTTTACATCGGTAGGAGATACTTAGCTCTAAAGATACGGAAAGTTTAATAAAAATCGCAAAAATTTCTGATTTTTTCCGGCGTGATAAATTCGAGCCTCAAAATATGTTTTCACTCAACTGCGTTCTTGCCTTAATGATCACAAAAGTTATCGACACTCTAATAATATTTACAAATCTGAATTGAAAATAGCCGATTTCAACCGCTGCCAAAAGGTTGGATTTATTTGAAAATCATCTGAACTGGTGTATTTTCGAAGTCGAAAGAAAATGTTCAAGCTAAGAAAAACATAAATATATTTTTTACAAAATCACAATTGTACATGTTTTCACTAGACAATAATTAATAAATTAAATATAAATCTGGGCACAAGTAAATACACCAAACTAAGGTAGCTGGAACTGATCAAGCTGTAGCTGAAACCCAAAAAAAGTCGTTAAGTCCACTTTAATGGTGTTTTATAATTGAGTGTTCACACCTTGTATAACCGGAGGAGATGAATCAGCAGCTGCAGGTTCGGCTGGCAGCTCCTCAGTAGGGGCTGGTGATACGGCTTCAGTAGGAGCAGGCTCTGCTGCAGCTGTTTCTGGTGCAGGCGCATCAGCTGCAGGCGTAACCACAGCGTCTTCAGCAGGGGCGGTTTCGGTAGCTGCTGCAGTTTCAGCAGGTGGCGCTGCTTCAGTGGCTGCACCTTCAGCTGGCGGCGCTGCCTCGCTAGGAGGCGCTGCTTCAGTTGCAGCGGGCGTTTCTCCTGCAGCTGCCGCTTCAGCAGCCGGTTGTCCTTCGGTGGCAGCTTGGCCTTCTACAGGCGTGGCTTCAGTTGCTGCTGCTCCTTCCGCTACAAACACCGTAAGTTTTAGCTTCAATCAGCTATTACTCCAGTAATAAAATGAACATTGCAATGTTCGGATGTAATGTTTGGCACTATCGACAGTGAAAAATGAACATAGAAAATCGAAAAATGGAAAAAATGGTGCAGTGCTTGATCAGAATGATGATCGAAGCACTCACCAGGTGAAGACTTGAGTTTCTCGAGCAGCGTCTCGAACGTAAAGTTTCCATCTGAAGTTTCCGATGTTAAGTCGACTACTTTATATTTTAGAGAGTCCTTTATGTAAATGACGACACCTTCACCGCTATTTTTCCGGTTTTCTACCAGCGAGTAATGCGGAATAGCGACAGCTGCCTTATTCTCGGTTGCGGCCAACACGGTTTCCGGCAGTGCGACAAAGTCGTAATTTTCGTTCAACACGAGCTGCTTAAACGTTTCGAAAGGCCCTAGAAGAATGGGAAACTGTCCATTACAACCCATACCAATGCGCCTGTTTACCCCAGCAATGGCGATTGTAAACTTAACTAGTTTCAAATCAGTGGCAGACTCACCTGGAGGAGCTGCAGCTTCGCCTTCAGCAGCTGCGCCTTCTACAGCAGGTGTTCCTGAATTGAACAGGTATTTTGATAAGTTTATGGGCTGTTTTGGGTCAGTACCTTCAGTAGCCGCACCATCAGCAGGAGGTTGTCCTTCACTGGGCGCCTCAGTAGGAGGAGCAGGCGCTGCAACCTCTCCTTCTCCTGTAGGCTGCGCCTCAGCTGCAGGCTCACCTTCAACTGGAGGTTGGCCTTCGCCCGCAGTCTCACCTTCAGCAGGGGGCGGTACTTCGGCAGCAGGCGGTACTTCAGCTGCAGGCTTCGATGGTTCTTCCGCTGGCGGTTGTTCCGCTGCCACTGTATTTTTGTGGTCAATTTACGTTTTTTTCGAGATGGCACGACAAAAAACCAATTTATACGAAAAGGTGTTTACGGAGGTAGCTACTGTGAACGGGAGGTAACGAGTAAATATCACGAGCAGGTGTAGCAGCTCTCTAATGGGAAAGTGCTCATGGCAAATGCAGATTTTGGTTTGTATCCGGGCAGCAGAATGTTTAAGGAGGTAGCGAGCAAATATCGGGAACAGGAGACATTTTTAACGTTAACATTCCGTTATTTCCAATTTGAGTCTAGCAGCTTTCTAATGGAAAAGTGCTCATGGCAAATGCAAATTTTCGTTTGTATCAGGGCAGCAGAATGTTTAAGCAGGTAGCGAGCAAATATCAGGAGCAGGAGTTTAACGTTACGTTATTTTCGTGTGGATGTAGATGCTCTCTATTTTCGGAGTAACAATAGACGTTAATCGCAAATAACGTAACGTTAACATATTTTTTCAAATGGCTCAATGTAAGCTCGAATTATAACTGGAGAGTGAATATGAGAAACAAAATCGGCATTAATCGCAAATAACGTAACGTTAATCGATTTTTCCCAATGACATGAAAATTCAATTTCTAACAGGAGAGCCTAATATTCAGAGCGGTAGCAGGAACAAACTCATGATGGCTTACTTACCTTCTTCTTCACCTTCCTAGAAAAACCACACAAATTAAATTAAATTTAAATTGACCATAAAACACTATACAGTACGAAAAATACTCTACATGAAAAAAATCGCTGTTAATCGGACATTTGATACATTTTTTCATTCAATATTGTATATACAAGGTGATACAAAACAGTGTTTGGTTTTATATTAATACGTTTATTTATACAGAGTGAGTCAGTTTATGCTAGCAGCAACAATTTGTAACATTAAACCAAAATAATCTGGCTCACCATGTACCTATAACAAATAGCTGTCGCGGACAACAAAAAAGACAATAACATTTCCTTCCTCACTTTTATTAATAAGAATCTTTTTATTATAAACACATAATACAGATGAAATTAACAAAATATACACGGGTGTTCAAAAGACAGTACAACACAGAGAAGTGACGTGCAAACACACCCTTTACAAACGTGTAGAATTATTGTGACAAGGTAAATACAGTGAAAGTCAGGAAACAAGAACAGCTCATGCTTCGGCTTCCTGTACCTTCTCTCCTTTCTTGGACCAGTCGGGTTTTTTCTGGAAAAAATCAAAACAGAATATCGTGAGAAATTCAGTTCGAACTGAGCGAAAAAAACTGTTGAAACTTGAAAAAAACCATGTGATATACATCACAGATTATCTGTTAACTGAAATGGTGCAGAAAATATAAAGGATGGTGCATTTGACAACAAAATATATAAGGAAAGCCTGAGAACAAGCAGTTGCATCGTGAAATGCTTGGGAATTAAAAATGATTAAGACATGCTTAAGACGTTGATGGAGAGCATTACAACACTTTCGCCTACTTACAAAAGCATTTTGACACACAAACAGTAAAATCAGCTTTTGCTCACCTTCATCCTAACTCAATAAAAAAGGAAGAGAAAATAATGAAAAAACAGGCAAAAAGCAAAAAGTTGATAAAAATACGAAAAAACTTGTGCAGAAGAAATCTGTCAAAAATTCGAGTGGTTAAAAACTACAAAAAATCACTCAATTGAAGTCAATCAAACAAGTCGATTTTGGAAACTAATACTTTTATTTAAACGAACATTCGAATCGCTGGCGTTTAATGCGGAATTAGACCGAAAGAAAGCTGGAAATTTTACTTCTTCTGCCACTCAGCTTTTTCCTGTTTGGGTTTCTGGAAAAACGAACAAACATGTAAAGAGAAAGAACCCAGAAAGTCCGTAGAATTTAGACATTTAGGGCTTCAACTTCGATCTATCGAGCATCTGTTTTTACACAACAGAAATCCTGCCCTGCAGATCTTCAGCCACTTGAAAAATCCACTTCTAGTGTGGATTTTAAAAACTTCTATTGAAAAATGTTCTCTGTGTGTGTTCAAATGTGACAGCTTTTTCACGTGCGCGTCTCTCCAATTGTTCATTCGAGAAAAAAAACACTAGAGCAGAACATGATGCAAAAACAAAAACCCCGCAAAAATGATCAAAAAGCCAAAAATATGTCGTGAAGCATCCATTCACTCGAATGGAACCAAAAGCATGTCGCGAGTCGTCGGAAGCTTCTTCTATCGATTGCTGTTGTCCACATTTCCATTCTTCAAATGCTTCTTTATAATCGCATTTAAAAAAATGCAAAAGGTGAAGAATTCGTTCTGAAGGAACCATTTAGCCGAATAGAACCAAGTGCAAACAGCGAGTCAGTTGAACTTGTCTCGATCGATTGCTGTTATCCACATTTCAATTCTTTGGATGGTTCTTAAGAAACGTACTCTAGAGCGATGCAAAAACGAAAAAACCCGCAAAAAATGTCGAGTTCTAAAGTTCGTTGTGAAGAAAACAAAAAGAAAAAACAAGTTTGCTCTATACATTGCTGATCTCCGCGTTTCAATGCTCCAAACGGTTCTTTAGCAATCAATTCCAGAAAACAGCATGGTACTAACCGCGCAAAAACCATAAAAATTTAACTGTTTTTTAGGCACTCCTAAAATCCACTTCTAGTGTGGATTTTCAAATTCTCTATTGGAAAAATGCCTACATTTTCTCGCTCATGTGTTTTTAATATGACTACATTTTAAGCTGTTGTGTATGTCATTTACCTCTTTGTCCTCTTCTTCCATGGTGAATTCCTTCTTCTTGACCACTTTGAGTTGGTTACGGAAGTTGAATTCGGCCGCCTTCTTTTGGAGCTTGGCGAATTTGTTTTCGTATTTGGACACTTTCTTGAGGGTGGGTTTAACGCTAAAGAAAATTAATAAAACCAACGTGAAGTGACAAAGAGACAGGCTTGTAAGAAAAAAACTTACAATTTGCCCCTGAGGTCATTCACTTGGCTGTTCAAGTCGGCAATCTATAAAACATGTAATAAATTAGTTAAATAACTGGACATTTGAACGGCATAAATGCCATTGGACCCCATACTATACTTTATACAGGGTGATTTAAATATGCTCTGACAGACTTTAGAAAGTCATTGCTGTTCAGAATTTATTAAATAATATTTCCAAAACCGCTTAAGGTATTTTAATGAAATTTTGCAGATGTGAAAAGCTATAGAGTGGCCATGTTCCTACAGGATGAATCATTTTTTCGGTCACAAGTGGCGCGCGTACCGAAGTAACATTCAATATTCTTGAAGAAAAAAAGGGCGCCCTATTGATTTTTCAAAAAATAATTTTACTGTGTTATTGCCCTAGTGATTCTTCACAAAAATGGTCTCTGGAGTGTTCTTTGTATAACGCATAGTTTTTGAACAAAAAAATAAAACTCGTTCTAAAGCAGGTCAGGTCTAATGCATCGTCACACCAACCAGTTATTTTAATTAAACCTTTGAACTTATTTACTATGGATTTTAATGAAAAGGTATTCACAGTAACGTGCACATTATTTTAATTAATGTAACGGATGCACATTATTTTAATTAATTAATTTCAATTTGCATTCATTTTAAGGTTTGGATTAAAACAACTTATAAACGTGCAATAATACGATTTAAAAAAAATTACTCGAAAACAATGTGTTGCAGTAAAAAACTCGAGAGAGCTTTTTTGTTTGGAACTGAACTAGAAATGAAAAAGTAAAATTAGGTTTCCGAAAAAATCCTTCAAAATATTGAAGTCGGGTCGGAATATTTTTAATCACCATAATTTAGTGCTTTCCATACAAAATTTCTCAGGTATAATATAGGGCCCAATTGATTAAAATGCCCTTTTGTACAAAGAAGAACATTGTTAAAACGAAAAAACCTTACAATAGAGCATTTTAAACACGGATAGAACTTAAACAGTAATTAGCAGAAATGATTCCAAAAACATGAAACAAACGCACACATATGAAGCAGATAGCTGGTGAGGCAGTTAGTACGATAAAACAGGGAAGAGTGGAATGATAGATAACACAGAAAAATTGAAGTTGGCGGGAAAACACGTCTGATATATAGACAAAACCAACCAGACCTATTGACAAAAATTACATACACTTCGGTCGCGTAAAAGAAAAAAATCGCAACATGGGGGATAATGGCTAATCTAAACATATACGCCGGTTTAATGCCACAGTACATACAAAAAAACCAACTATATAAAATTCAAAATTGACTACTTGCGGGCTGTGTGTTAGAACACATTCATCGTTTAATAAGATGCTTTAACGATGCTGGACGCAGCCAATGCTGCTTAAATGGATTCGTTCTCTGGAGCCCAACGGGCACTAGTTCGCAAACGAGCATTTGCCTGATTTAAAACTTATTACAATTTAAACTCCCTTAATTAGTAGTCCAAACGTTTCGGTAGCACGCATTGTTAGAACCTTCAGAGACTGTTGCACTCAAAAGATAAACAACTGAAAGCTGCAGCACTTGGGAATCCGCCCTCGTAAATCGGGAAAGCACGACAAGGCCACATATTTCCGATATGTTGCTCTCACTCTTGATCACGGTGAGAGCGCAAATCGAATTCCTCGTTGTATTACGGGGTGTATTTAATGAGTCTCACAATTCTGAAGGTGCCAGCTAAATTTAAATCAGGCAAGTGTTCATTTCCATTCGTTCTGTTGCTCCGATGCTCGCTGATATTTCGCCTTGATTTGAAGAGACAAACACCTAAACCCTCCACAGAGCCTTTGAAGATGCCTGCCGCAAATCAAAGCGAAACATCAGGAGTAGAAGAACCATTTAAGCAACTACTGATTATTCTACTCTAGAAAGAATACACCTGAAAAAGGAACAAGCATGGCACTTCAAGCACTGTAGGTTCCGTTATTCGTTAAATTGACTAATAGATAACAAGGTTTCGAGATTTGGAACGGTTTTACGACTGAGGGCGTAAATCAAAAAGTCACTGAAAAATAATCAAATGAAAAGCCATGAAGGGCCATGCCGTGGGAAAAGCCTGTATTCTGGTCTATTCTGCATAAAATAATCGGTGTAGAATCTAAAAATTGACCGCTGGTTAGTTACCCAAAAAGATTTGGTTAAGTACAGTTAGCCAATAGAATACAGGCCTTTAGAGATACTGCGGGTCAAGCATGGTTAAAGCAAAATAAAAATTGGTTGTTATTATTCGATTTTTAGTTGAAAATATTTGAACGTGATTCAAGCGCAAAGCAAGGGCATGGGACTGAACTGAACAAAATTCGTCAATCTTCGTTTGTGTTCGATTATCACATGTAACGGTGGAAAAAAATGGCAGGAAATGGGGGAGTGTAACTACGGCTGGACGCTTCATGTGGATGTAAAAATCACATTTCATTATTTACAATGTTCGGTGTGGAATGTGAATTATTCGAGATTTGTCTAAAGCCCTTCCAACCTTAGAGGATTGTTCTGGAAAACTGCAACGTTTCGATTACTTTCTGTTTCCAGTTGGGAAAATTTCCGTACAGTTTTGTAAAGAGTTTTTCTGTCTTAAAAACAGCAAATTAACTACAATGTGTTTTACTGAAATAATGGGCTTAAATAGGCTGAAAAACAGATGGTTTATTTCAATCAGGAAACTGTTAAGCAAGATCAACTCACTTTCCAAAGATCAAAAAAATCGCATTAAAAAGTCGACGAATTTTACTTACAACCGCAAGAGATTAAAGTAAGGTTTTCAGACTTTTCCACGCAATTTCACACGTTGATTTTTCAAAAAGTGGGACGTTTTTTGAACAAATTTTAAATCAAAATTTAATACTCAATTTAAATAAAATTTAATCAAAATTTAAAATCAGCGCAGGCTTTTATAGAAGGGTTTGCGGACGTTTCACGATTTAAACTGCTTATTTTTTAAAAAGTGAAATTTTTGCTTTACACAATTAATTTTATCTTTTTACTCAACAACTTTTTATCAAAATTTTACATGATTTGATGATATTTAACGCTATTTTTAAATTAGAAAACTAAAGCGTTTAAAGTAAGATCTGTCGACTTTCGAACATAATTTTCCACGATTTAAGCATGCAATTCTCGACAACAGGACACTTTTACTTAGCACCATTCTTGAAACTGAAGACGCAATCGATTAAAGTAGAAAATACCGTTTTTTTCACGATTTAAGCATGCAATTCTTGAAAAAGTGACACTTTTGCTTAACAATTTTCTTAAAATTGAAACCGCCCTCGTAAATCGGGAATGCGCGACAAGGCCAGAGATTTCCGATATGTTGCTCTCACTCTTGACCACGGCGTGTGCTCCAAAGAAATTCCTTTATGAACTACGGGGTGCATTCAATCTGTGTCATTAAACTGCATTTCCTAGAATGTCGGTAATTTTTGAAAAAGTTAAGACTCACTTAACGCTATTTTTGCACTTAAAACCGCAAGCGTTTAAATTAAGATTTGTCGAAGTTTCCACGATTTAACCGTGTACAGTTTGCAAAAATCGAACAGCGTTAAGGAAGACTCTCACTTTTTGTGAGACAACACAACTAAAGAGAGTAAATTAGTCGGCAAACCTTACGGTATTTCACCTTGTATAAGCAAATTTTGATTAAAATCCATTGATCGGGCGAATCAAGGCGCTATAAAAGAAATAGTTTAATTTTTTTCTGTTTTTGAATATAGTTCTGCAATTGCACGAAAGGCTAGAACATTAGAAAAGCATAAAACTTTAATTTTTTTGGGTGCAGCAACCTTTAATTTCCAAGTAGACGACTTGATTAAGCAAAAAGTTGCGTATTTTTCCTGAGGCGGTTGAAAGAAAAACCGAAACGTTATGTAGAGCACGGACGCAAAAGAATCAGTTGGAAGGGCCTCTTCAAGGGTTTCCACTCGCTGGGAACATAAGCAGGCAACTTTAAAGACTTTGAATGGTTTGCTGTGGTTTAGAATTGCCGTGCTCATCTCCCAACAGTTTTTGTGGATATTCATGAGTAATTTATGAAAAAAGCATAACAATTTGGTCACTCATCTTCACGTTTTAGGGGCCATGTCGCATAAAAATCGAAAAAATTGGTAACTGTTTCAGACGAAACATTTCAATAATTCCTACAGTCTTTACAGTTAACATCACTGAAGATGAATGAACGATGATGAAACTGCCCTAAAAGCGCACTTTTAGACAGTTACCAATTTTCCTGAATCCCCCTTTTCCGTCAACTAATGGAAATAATTCAAAATCGGAAAAAAACACGCAGTCATTGAACGGTGACTGTTTTGTTTGGTACCTCGAAGTCTCTCTTGCGAACATCAAGTTCCAAGTCCCACTTCTGTTCCTCGATTATGTAAATACGGTCATAGTACACCTTAACAACCTTCTTTAGGGCTTCTGAAATTGACAATAACGCAACCAATTTTTCACAATTTTCCCCCAATAAATTTTGGATTTGCTGCTACATTCTACTACAGGTATTGTTTTTTTAAAATGTTTCTGTGGTTCGTGTTGAGCAAATGTGCATGGTATAAAGTGAATGGTACTGCTAACTGTAAAGGATTGTCGAGCACAGTGGGACCGGGGTGGGTTTTTTCAGTTAAACCAGATCCCACTCCCTTAGCATTCGATGCTACCAATTTTTTTGAATTTTACATTATTGGACCCTAAAACTGATCGGCTGACGATACCTCGTAGTCTCGCTTGCGAACTTCACGTTCCAAATCCCATTTCTGTTCCTCGCAAATGTACATACGGTCATAGTACTCCTTAAGTATTCGTTTTAGGGTAGCTGAAATGTGAAATAACGGAACCACCAGTAAGTATTAGCTTTCACATGGATTTTCGCCCCCTTTTTACAGTCACTGACTGTGTTTTAAGTCAGCTATTCGAATTGTTTTCGACTGGGGCACTTGAAGTACTCAAAAAAATTAACGGACAGTTTTGGGGTGATTTTTTTGCAGGGGTCTAGTCTCCAACTAATTTTCAAAAAATCTACATACATTGAGGTGCTGATTCTCACAGTCCAAATAAGAGAATTGCGTTTATTTACTCAAATAGCTGTTGCATGTATATACAGAGCGGGACCTGATCGAATTCGCGCATCAAAAATTACTTTTGAGCGGCAAAGGTGATTTTTGAGTACGAGAACTCGCTAATAAACGCCATTCCAGGAATATCAGCTGCCTAATTCGATTAAAATATGGCAAAACCATCCAAACCGGATGGTTTTGGATCGTGGATTGAACAAGTACCTCGCCTGCTTTTATTCGCTCAATAACTTCTAAATCATATTTATCCCCTTCGAGAGTACAAATTCGTTGGTAGTAGCTGTGGCAAATTGTTTGTAGCTCAGCTAGAAGAAAACACAGTTCGCTTAGGTTCGCTCTTTATGTTTGGTTGGTGGCTAAATTGGAACGTGTTGGTTTGTCATTTAATTCGGGTTCGTTTCGAACCGTTCAGGTTCAGAATATACAGGGCGCACGTCCATTCCACTACTCGTCGTTGACCAACAGAAGCAGGCAGAAAAGTTGAAATAATATCCCAAAAACCCACATTTTCTGAAAAACGGTAGAAACACCCAAATAATTTCCGAAGCCTAAAGAATACAAAAATAAATAGAGCAAAACGTCGCGAATAAAAAAAATAGAAGTGAGAGCGTAGTTGACCGCAAACATCAATTTTGTTACTCGCTGTGACATCCTTCTGAGACTATTTGCATCTTCAAATCTCAAATTATTTCTTCCTTTAGTTTGGAAGTTAACAACTTATAAAGGAGAAAACGCAGTTGTCCAAAAACATTCATTTTGAGACTCAAATTTATCAAGCTGGTAAAAATCAGAAATTTGTACATTTCTTCTGAGACTTTCACCATTCTGAGAACCGAGCATCCTTTAAAAATTGTGAAAGTTTCAAATCGTTCCTTGCGTCAGTTTGGAAGATATGATTTTTTAAACAAGAAAGTGCAGTTGACGTCAATATTCATATCGAACATCGATACTGAGACCTAGATTTAGCACACTGAACAAAAAAAAGGATTTCGGGCCATTCTACTGAAACTATGCGTTTCTTTCCAGGCAACTCTCTTCTAAAGATGATATAAATTTCAAATTGCTTCTTGTTTTTTTCTTTGAGATACGAATTTGTGAAAGGGAAAACGCAGTTGGATGAAATCATTAATTTTGAGACTCAGATTTACCAAACTGACAAAAATCACGATTTTTTAGCAGCCTCAGATCCAAGTGTCTTCGAAAGACGGTGAAAGTTTCACGGTTTTCTCCTTTGCTTTAGTTTGGAAGACACGAACATTTTTAAGGCGAAAACGCAGTTGACTGAAAACACCGGTTTTCATACTCACATTTATCATATAAGTTGGCAAAATTTAGGATTTTGTGAGATGTTTATGAAACTTTTAGAATGCTTAGAGTCGAATGTCTTTTTAATTAAGCAAATTAAAGAGGGCAGTAGACCGAAATCATCATTTTGAGACTCACTTTTATCTAGCTAGCAAAAATCAAAATTTAGTGCAATTTTTGCGAAACATCCCATATCTTCAGAGGCGAGTGTTTCCTAAAGATCTAAAGCTCTTTACTTTAGTGTCGAAATTACAAATTTTTAAAACAGTATGCGCAGTTGACTGGAAACAATAATTTTAAAATTCACAAGATGATTTATCAAGCTGCCAAAAATCAGGTTTTCATGTGATTTTCACTCCTAACTTTTCGCGCCTATAGAACCGAATGTCTTCTAGAAATCTTGAAAATTTCAAATTCCTCGTTGCTTCAGTTTGGAAAATATGATTTTTTCAAGGAGGAAGCGCAATTGACTGAAAACCTCAATTTTAAAATCCTGCCACTTTTGGTTCCTTCCAACCAAATCCTAGGCAAACTCAAAGAAGAATAAATGCCGTATATTTCCAGAAATTCTTCCCCAAAAAAAATTAAAATTTCGTTGTTCTAGAGTATTTTCCTAATAAAACTCACTGAAACAACACCCACTTAGAAACATATTTCAACTTTCCTACCGCGAGTAGTAGAGACACCCCGTATAATATTGCAAAATTTTCAAGAAGGAAATTATGGGGATCGTAGTTGAGAAGCTTGCAACAAAAATAGCATAACTTTGAAAATACAACAAAAATTCAAATATTACTAAACAAGTTATACAAAAATTACGTTTGCATTAAAAAAACCATTTAAGTAGCTGTTTACTGGATATGAATTGGATGTGCCTATTAAAAGAAAAATATTAAATAATTTCATTATACTGGGTGTTTCCATGAAGGGGGGCCACCACCACAGCATTAAACGTGTAAACTCAAGGGCTAAGTCGCCATGAAAAAATCCTGGGTCATTTTTTCGAGTTTAGTCCTTCAGTAGAAGAGGCGAATAGATCAACGAATATAAAACCGTTAATATTTCATCGAATCAATAAAATGCAGAAAAATCACTAGAAAGCAGTTTCAACAGTTTTTGGGTCATTTTGGTTCAATTTATCGCCACTCTTCACATTCAAATTGCTCTAATTTCTAAATAACTTGCACGATTTGATCAATCTTAAGCTGGTTTGGAAGAATAATGCCAACGGTTTTAACTAACTTTAGAGCTCATTCAAAAAAAATCCAGACAGCCCAATTTGCAATAAATAAAACATGAGAAACATGTTGGAGGCCACCCTTAATTGAACACCCTGCAGAGTAATTGATGCTTCATAAACAGAGACTTGCGGGAATTCTCTTCATTTTAGAGGACAAGCTGAGTACGTTTTTGAGAAAATTTGCGTTGCCAAATCGAATGTTTTTCTGGTTTAAAATGCCCTCTAGACACATCCAAGTGCTTCGTACAGAAATTTTTTTATCTCGCACTGAAAAAAAACATTAAAAACTGCAGTGCAAAGCGATCTACTTATTTGGTGGTGGTTATTGTACGGAAAAAAGGGGTAATCTACGCGAACAACCAATTGTTTAACACATGCCCTTTACAGGTGGCCAGTATTTCTACCTGAAAGTCTCTGAATTCTACTTCTTTTTCAAGATCGTATTTTCTATTTTCTAGATCAATGATACGCCTATAGTATTGCTCGATAACCTGTTTTACTTGACCTAAAAATACAGAACCTTCCATTTAGACGGTTTCGTTCGTTGAATCGTGTCCTTGTTGAAAGACGTGTGTGTGTTTGTTGCCCGATTGGTTTGTTAGAAGAAAGATGTAAAGTAATGAGAGTCGATGTTAAACTGCTAAAAACTGTATACGAAACACGTGCACCTTAAAAAAAAAACCATCAAAAAGCAAAAGCATTGACTGCAAACAAGCAATGCTTTGAAGACCAAGAAAAAAACCGAAGAAAAAATCACCAAGCATTAGTTTGGTGGCATCTTTCCAAGCATTGCACAAAAGTTTGGCTGGTGAATGATTGCGAAAATTATACAGTTTCAGCAGTTCATTAATTTTCCTTTTGTGGCCAGTCCGCTTGAGGCTGGACAATGCCAATGGACACAGTCCAACATCAAAAGACTGTTAGTCTGAGCTTAGTGGAAAGAGTAGCGATAGTTCAAAAAAAAAATAAACGTGCATATTTAAGTGATTATCTTTGCTCCATCTAACCTCATAGTCTTTCTTTTTAACGAGGTATTCCAAATCGTATTTGGCGTCTTCCAGATGGATTATTCTATCGTAATATTGCCTCAAAGTACTCTTAAGTGATTCTATATTTCGTAAAAAGCAACTTTAGTCAATGGTGTTTGAAAAAATCGATTAAAAATTCAAAATGGTCCAAGGACGAGTGAAAAGTGTGTAGAATAAATACATACTAATAAGGAACGAAGAGTGATTAATTTTTTTTTGGAAAATATGCAAGATCGACGCTTACCTTCATTGGCATCATCAATAAGTTTCGGCTTTCCACATCTTTCCTCAATGATGCGCCTTCTTTCGGCCGCTTTCCTTTCCTGCTCTTTCTTCAATTCCTCGGCGGCTTTCTTTCTCAACAGCAACTGAACAAAAACAGCTTGTTTCATCGAAATAAATCGGACTCAATCAAACCCATCTTCTCACCCGCAGTTTCTTCTTCCTCTCCGGGGTCATGAAACCTTTCTTGGCCTTTTTAGCTTTGGAGGCCTCTTCCATGCGGGCACGGACTTCGGCCCTCTTCCTCTCGATCTCAGTCTGCTTTCTTTTCTTTTCCTACATTTGACAACATTAATTAAAACTGTTATTACCTGAATCACACCGAAACTACTCAAAGGGAATTTTGACAAAAATCTACGAAAAGTGAGTGAAAAATCGGAATTTTGAAAACACCGGTTTAGTCCTGCCTGTCATTACGTGCCTCTTCCAGTTTTTTTTTCTGAAAAATAAAACAAAACCCCAAATTAGTACATGTGAATCAGCGAAATGTTGGACAGTGTTATCTGGTGATTTTATGTGCTCAATTAGTCAAGACATTGATTTATAGTGTAATTACAGAGTAACTCTAAACTGATTTAGTAAATGTGTTTTAAAAACAGCTGAAAATGGCCCATTTTTAATCACCCTGTATGTGTTATACAAACTTATTATTAGTGTGGAAATATTGGTGACAATAGACGAAAAACTGGTGAATTAGAAGTGTTGTGAACATAAACTGGTGATTGTTTGAAACTGGTGAGGTTAATTTTGCTGAGAAACACTTTAGGAGGTGCTTAAAACAAGGATTTTCAGGCGATATTGGCAAAAACACCACGGCCGATGCATCAACAGCTCCATAGTAGGCCCGAAACGGCACAATTACATGGTGGCCGCTAGGCCTATAAGCCACATTTCGTCGGTTGTACGCCAATATACACAATATAAACTTTCACTTCGTGTGCAATTTTCCATATTTTCTATATGAAACTGCGCACATTGTTTGATCAATCAGTCAAGAAAAACCTCACCAGTTTTATAAGCAAACGTTTTTGTAAAAACGCACACACAAAACAGCTTCAAATGTGAAAAATTGATAAGCAAGCCATGCATGCATTCACGCAGCTGAAAACTCCTGCAACTTACTGAAGCCGCTATTTACAAATTAAAGCTACTGGTCCCACAACATCTAAGTAAGTCTACTTAGACTTCGAGAATTCAAGCAATGCAATAAAATACAATGCACTGTTTTGTTTTTCTACTGTTTAATTTTTTTCAATGCCAAAAGCCGAATACATTTGAAACAAATCAACGTTTCTACTTGTCGTCACTGTTTGAGTAGAAATTTGTTTTGTTTGTTTAATTCTTTTTTTCAAAAATTATCCTACTAAATAAACTGGAAAACATTAAAACGACACCGGCATGCAGATGGGATAGTTACCTTTTAAATAAATTAGGCCCGTAAGTCGAACACTGTTCATACTGGAGCACATGAAACAAAGAAAAACAATGCTTAACCAAAAAATCAACTGTATTAAAAGGACATTTTATAAAATCCATAGTGTGTTTTGTTTTAAAAAATTCATTGACTTTACTCACCTAACCTCATCGTCCGCCATTGTGAAGGGTTTGGTTGGTCTAAAAAGTCAAAAACAATAAATAAATAAATAAACAATTTATACCAATGCGTTATCTTTAGTAGTTGGCGACATTAAAGTATTTAAAGCATCAAGTTAAAGAAAATCTTCAAAATGCAAAAAAATCGTCGAATATTTTCAAAACAGTTACAAATTTGAAAATGGATTCACTTATCCTGTTTTAAATAATGATTTTCTTTGAAGTACTGAAACACAGTGAAGTTGAACATTAATAGTGCGCGCGGACTTTATTGGAAAATTCGCTCAAAATTGTGCAAAATAGCAAAACAATTATAAATTCCACCAATAATACAGCAAGATTTAATTAATGTAATGGCGCTAATATAAATTTTCTATTTATTTCCGGTTTTAAAATGATATGTTTTAAGTACTGAAGCACAGTCTAGTCAAACACAAATAGTGTGCGAAATTTATTGAAAAATTCGCAAAAAATTAAGCAAAAGTGCAAAAAAATGGCGATTGCACCATTGGTAGAGCAAAGTTTGTTCCATTTAATCGCACTAGCACGAATTCTCTATTTATTACTGGCATTGAATAGTGATTTTTTTAAAAATACCGATATCCAGTGCCGTTGAATACAAATAGTGCACCGACGTTTTCGAAAAAATCGCCAAAAATTGAAGAAAATAAGAAAAATCTGCAAATTGGACCATTAATACAGAAATATATAATTATTATAATTATAATAATAATCTATTGAACGACACTAACACAGATTCTGTGTGTATTTTCGATTTTTTTTTAAATTCTTTTTATTTGTTTACAATCTGTCCTGAGACAATAAGTAAAAAATATTACATAAGAAATAACATGTGAGTGTTCACTCATTAGTAAAGCACTCTTACAAGCATTTTCGATTTTTAATAGGAACTTTTTTAATACCGAAGCACAGTGCGAAGGCAAATAGTGCGGTGACCTTATAGAAAAATTTGCAAAAAATTGTGGAAAAAAAGAAAAAGTTGTAAATTGTGCCATTCTTAGATAAAGCCTTGGTCGATTTAATGACACTAATATGGATTCTCTATTTATTTCGTGATTTGAATAATTATTTTCTAAAATACCGCATCGTAATGTAGTCAAAGACATTTAGTGCGCCGGCTTAATGAGAATATCGTCAAAAATTGAAGGAAAAAACAAAAAATCTGCAAATTGGACCATTAATAAAGACATATTTAATTTACTGAACGCCGCTAACACAGATTGTTTGCGTTTTTTCGATTTTGAATAGGATTTTTTTCAATACCGAAGCACAGTGTGATCGAAGGCAAATAATGCGCTGACCCTATTGAACAATTTGATAAAAATTGTGGAAAAAAGCCAAAAATTTGGAAATTGCACCATCAAGAGATGAGGCCTGGATCGATTTAATGGCACTAATATGAATTATCTGTGTATTGCGTGATTTGAATAATTATTTTTTTAAATACTGTATCGAAATGTGGTCGAAGACACTTCGTGTGTCGACTTGTTGAAAAAATCGCCAAAACTTGAGAAAAAGAGGGAAAAAGCTGAAAAGTGACCCCTTGATGGACTAAGGTTTCTTCAATTTAGTGCTTCTAATATCAATTCGGTGTCAATTTCCAGTTTGGAATAGCGGTTTAAAAAAAAATGCGAAACAGTATAGTTGAAGCCAGACAGCAAATCCCACTTCTATTGAACAATTCGTCATAAATTAAGAAAATGTTTCAAAGAGTGGGAAATTGAAAGTTTACTAGCAAGGTTCAGCCGATTTAAGGTGGCTAATATCAATTCTCTATCTATTTCGGCGTTTGAAGAATGATTTTTTTAAAATACCGTAACACAATGGGTCGCAAATAGTGGGCCAGCTTTTAGAACAATTAACCAAAAATTGAACAAAACAGCCAAAAACTCGAAAATGATTTACTGTATATAAACACCAATGTTTTGTCGATCTAATGCTTCTAATGTGAAATCCCTATCTCTTTCCTGTTTTGATTAGCGATTTGTAAAAATAGCAAAACCCAGTGAAATCGAGGTCAGATAGCAAATCCTACCTGTATTGAAAAATTCGCCCAAAATTGACGAAAACCGCAAAAAAATTTAAAATTATACACTAAAAAGACGAATGTTTGATTGATTGATTGATGAGCCTTTAATATTGATTCGCTATCGATGTCCGGTTTTGAATAGCGATTTTTTGAAAATACCAAAACCAAGTGTGGTCGAAGCAAGATGGCGATCCAACTTGTATCGAAAAATTCGCCAACAAATAAAAAAAATATGAAAAACACCTTTATACAGGGTGATTCTTTATAATCTTCAGAAAGTTTAAACACTTTCAATGTTCAATTGACAGGTTCGTGTTGTTACTCCTATTATTTTTGTGCTTTCTCAAATTAGTCCTAACATTTCATGAGTGCTTGCTAACCATATCAGCAACTAGATAATCCTTATAACAAACAGTAATGTGAAAAACGTTGCAAAAATGTCTACAAAGGCTTTAAATAATTTAAACAAAAATAGGCAAATAAACAATGGCTAGTCATTGATAGATAAAGTATATAACAAAAACAATAGACACTTGTTGCTATTTTAAAGGCTTTTAAACTGTTTTAGTTTCTTTGATTAACCATTTATTGTAGTGCACGTAGGCAAGAGGTAATATAAAACCAGAAAAAGGCGGCGAAACCAAATTAGGTGTCCGTGTGCAACGTTATTTGTTCAGATCTTGGATATGATCCAGAATCTATTTCTGGCAAGTCGCGTTTCCAGTTAGCACGTCGATTTTTCGCTATAAATATGGCAGCTACAATTAGGACGCAGAAAATCACTTCTAGCAAAGGAAAATATGCTCCAATTCGAAAGATGCAACTGCACCAAAGCTATTTTTGGCCGTTCATAAATAATCGAATTTGGCATTAATCGGGGGTCACAAGCCAATAACATTGCTGGAATTTATCAAGCAAACACTTAAATAGATAAACAGAATAAAGTGTGTTTTGGAAATCATCCATCGAACAATGGAAGAACATTTTAATAGAACTTGAACAAATTAAATATCCAAAACTAAAAAATTCTAAACCCTGTTGCATAACCGCGAAAAAATTCCCTCATCCCCAAAAAATACTGTACCAAATCACTGGAAAAATCACTACAAAACCACTGGTTCACCACGCCGGCACTGAAGCGATTTCGAAAATTCAGCTGCTAAAACTTTTTTTTTTTGACGTACCTGTTTTACGATGGACTTTATGAGCAGCTTCTCAGGGGGCCCTGTGCTGACTGTCCAGATTTCCCCCCTGAAATTTTCACCAAGCGTCAGATCCCCACTCTGAGAAAACGCTATGTTCTAAATTTATATCAGCCGATCAAAGTCATTCTTTTCCTGAGCTTCCTTGTAGGGTTTTCAAAAAAAAAAATGCCCGCAAGGCTGCGTGGTTGATGGTGGATGAAAATCAGCCAAAAATTGCCGTGTAATTTGATTAATTTCTGGGTGTTTGGAGGGTGGAAGAAAGTGCGTCAGGAACGCAGTTGTTTTGGACGTGAGAAGTAAACCACTATGTAACCGTCCAATCCAATGGATTCGACCTGCAGTTATTTTTGGATCGACAATTTCCGAAAATAGCCCCTACTGCGACTTGATACTGTAAGCATGGACGAACATATACAAGCGAATATTTCCATAGTTTTCCTTTCGAGCTCATTTTCACTAAAACTGCGTGGTTTTTGAAAAACCTACAAAATTCACATTTTAAAACCACTTTTTTGAGCTGATTGAATTTTCCGAAATTAAGATTTATTCTTCAAATATAATCTAGAGTTTTATTTCGTGATTTTGTGAAAAAAACGAAAAAATGTGTAAATTCGCGGGTTTTACTGGGGCTGAAACCCCTTGGACGTATTTTTTTTAAACAACTTCAAAGATTTTCCATGCAATGCGCTCTTTTGGGTGGAATTCGTTTTTTCCGAACATTTGCAAGTTTGCAGGATGTTTTCAATTTAAAACTGCACTCTGTCCATTTCCGGTTCTCACTAGTGATTTTTTTTTCGAATACCAAAACAAAGTCGAAGAGAAATAATAGTGCGCGGACTAATTACGCGGAAAAATTATCCAAAAATTGAAACAATTGAGAACAAAATTGAAAATTTCGCCATTGGTAAAGCAAGATCTTAATAGTTTAATGGTGCTAACAAACTTCTCCCCCTATCTTCAGTTTTGCATAGCGAATTTTTGACAATATCGAATCTAGGACGAAGGCAAATATTGCGTCGACTTCCCTGAAAAATTTGCATAAAATTGAGACAAAATTGAACATTACACCATTGATAGGGCAATATTTTATACTTTTAATGGGTCTAATATGGATTTAATATCTATTTCCGGGTTTGACCAGTGATTTTTAATACTGCGAAAACACAGTGTGGTCAAAGAAAAATGGGTTAATTTAATGAGGATTTAATCGCACTAATAAGGATGTACTACCTATTTCAGGTTTTGACTTGCAATTTTTTGAAATCACTGAAACACATTGTGATCCAAGGCAAATAATGTGCCAAGTTTATTCAAAAATTATTTACAATTGATGATGATGATTGATGAAGAAAAATGTTCTCATTTTAATCACGCTAACATGGATTTTATATGAATTCCCGGTTTTGAACAGTGATTTTTTAAATTACCGAATCACAGCGCGGTCAAGGAAAAATAGTGCCTCGATTTAATTGAAAAATTCGTCAAATATTGAGCAAACGAGCGGAAAAGTCGCAAATTATGCCACTAATAGAGCAATGTTTTGTCGAGTTAATGGCTTAATGGTTATTATAAATTCTCTATCTATTTTCAGTTTGAAATGGCGATTTTTTTAAAATATCGAAACACAGGTTGGTCGTAGACAAATAATGCGCCGCTCGTTTTATTGCTCGTGTTAAATGACGATTATTTAAAAATTAAAAATTTCCCCAAAAATGTAAGCTTTCTTTGCGTTCTCTATAATGATTCTTGCATTTAAATGGCGAAAAACTCGACGGTCAAAACGCAATCTGGAACGTCTATAACGCTTTAAGGATTATTTTCAAATTTTAGATATATTTTTTGGCATGTTCAATTTCGACCACACACTTTCCCACTGTTTCCCACTGATTCTCCAGTAAGTTTGGCAATTTTCCCCGCAAGTTGCGCCTATCAACAAAACAAACTTTACTCAATTTCAAGCTTTAGTTTGAAAGTTGAAAGCTTTTAGTTTGAGTTTTTTTAGTTTAGACAAGCTTTAGTTGTCGGAAAATGAGCTCGCATTAAATTACATTTATCTATAGGAAAACCTCTAGTTTAATTTTAGCCTCTCTAAACTCTCAAATGCAAACCGGTTCTCTGGATCGTTCACCAATGGCAACACACCGGCCGATATTTCATTCTGAAACAATCGGAATGACGCAAACGGTGACGTCACAGGGTGCTGCGAACGGGCAAACTGGAACAGCCAGGGTGCGATGCCCCGATTTGACTTCGAGGCCAACTTAACATCGAATTCATTCTGGACTTTGGCCCATTATTCGCTTGAATCTGGAATATTGCGTTCGACTTCCACAGGCAAAAATCTATAGCAACCATAAAATGTCATTTCAAAGTTGTCAGTCAAGACTATTGAGATTTTTGGAGTGATTTCTGCTTGTTATAAGCAGAGCCGTTCTGATTGGTGGAAAATCCAGAATGAACCGGGACACTGCACCCTGATTGACCCAGATGCAGATCCCAGCTCAATGACGTCAGCGACGACGTCATTCCTTGTTAGGGATACGGCATTGGCAGCAACCAGAATTGTTAGGCGATTTTTCTTCGAAACAAGATCTGGCCCTATTTGTTTGACGTTAAAAACTTAGTAGTTTGATATTAAGTACCGCTGCACCTGCTTTTCCTTATTTCACTCTGAAGATGCGCAACATGCGGGCTTACGAAACGTGTGAAACACAACAGTTTCCAACAAAAACCGCGACAAACTTTGTTGTTGTTGAGAAAATGTTTTCTTCAAAATTTAAGGTTCCATTCAGCTAGAATTGCGTCAATTTGTCGATAAAACGTCCAAAAACCCGCTTTAGTTGTGTGCTGAATAAAGGCGAAAGTACTTGATGACGGATTAAACGATCGAAATGTAATTTTTCCCTTTTTTTTCATAAATTTGATAATTTAAGTGAAACCAAAAAAAGTGAATTCGGATTGAAAGCTGCAGTACTTAGGAATCCTCCCTCGTAAAACAAGAAAGCGCGACAAGGCCGAAGATTTCCGATATGTGGCTCTCACTCTTGATCACGCCGAGAGATGAAAATAAATTCCTTGATGAACTACGGGGTGCATTCAATCTGTATCACTCAACTGCATTTCTTAGAAAATTTCCAAGGAAAAAAACCTTGGCGTGCACGACGTGTAAACATCGTCTGAAGATGCCAGCTACTCTTGCATGCAAAACGTCAGGACCAAATTCCTACTCAAATGGCATTTGAAAGTTCGACTGGCGATTAGATTGCGGGCTCCAAACAATCGCAGGAAACATTATTCTATCCCACTCCTTGATATTTGAAATATAGAAGAAACATTTCCGAATAATGAATCCTCCAATGTTAAATCCTGGCCTGTTCAGAATGAGATGGCGAATGGCCAGATTTCGAAGTGGAGACAATACCATTCATTGGCCAATCGGTCAAGAATGCGGTTTAGATATCGATCGAACGATCTTAATATGTGGCGGATTAGCCTTTTCTGGTCAGATATTATTATTATTATTATTATTATTACTATCGTCTTTTGAGCAAAAAATTGGATTTTTTTTCCAGTTATCAATATTGCTAGACGATTTTAACAGAGTTAAAGTAGGAGCAAAGCGACCTTGTTTTCCACACAAATGAAAAAACTTGTGGGCTCACTCAATGGCCATCTGACGGCATTCTAGCGGCACTTTTACCATATTCGATATTACTCGAATCGTTCTAGTTCATTGAGGCGATTGATTTTCCTTTTAACTTGTTGGCTGTCTGCGTCGATACTGGGGGCCTTAAAATAGGAGAACGTATTTAAAGAAACGAAATTTTGCACGTTGTCACCCTGTACCATCGGAGACTATTATCTTCTGGATAAGACGAATTTGCCTCGAACGCAATATTTCTGTCTATATGTCAGTGAATTTTGAGCCCAACGTGGACATTAATGAATAATAAACATCCTGCATTTAGGAGATTATATTGAAAACGGAACCCGCATTGTAAATTTGAGATAAAGGCTTGACACCAGAATCTTAAAAGACAATTTCAATAAAGTCTTGAAGCCTAATAGCAGAACTCATTTCAATAAAACCCCTAAAAACCCCATCTTCAGAGACTATTGCACCTCAGTACAAAATCGACCATGATTCAAATGATGAAATTGAAATACCGAACACATATTTTTGGTTATTTGCATATAAAACTCCGTAATTTACCAAGTTGCACCGGAAAAAACTTCGTGGATGAATTTGGTTCGAAAATCGCCGGACTAAGAAGCGCAAACACGCGCTCCAAGCGATAGTCACGTTTTAAAATATCAATGTCAGTTCGGAGGTTCGCAAGCGAACAGCGCATTTCGTTAATTTCCTCAACTGCTTTGCAGCCTTTTATGGAAACTATCAGATAAGTGCGTTTGTCTTGTTTTTTTCCTATCGCGCCAATTTATTTGAGGAAAAAAAGCCAGAAAAATCCCCTGCCGTGCGCCGCTTAGTGGGCTGTACTTGCAGCCAATGTGCGCATCATGCTGTAGATGAGCAAACCAATCAGTGAACAGCAAGGAACGCCAGTATGGAGTGAATACTTCGTGAGAGATTCAGAAAAATTGCAATGTAAGTAGTTTTTCCTGCTAATAATCGGCAACACAGTGAATACGGAAAAGTTCCGGCTGTTTAATTTGCGATGATGCAGTTTTTTTATTGGTATTCGCAAATATTTGTGTTCGGTCGCCGATCTAGGGATGAGTTTACTCGACCTTTTAGATTACCTTGACCCATTTTTCCACACAGGAAAAGCCCTCTGAAAATAAGTTTTAAATGTTCACCTGTATTGCAATACAGGTGCAGTGGGCGTGCGGATGTGGGAGTTGATTAAACTAACTATTTTATACCAAGTGAAAAAACGCTCTGAGTTGCGCACATTTGACTATTTAGGAACCTTCGTATGCGACCAGCGAATTTGTTGTTCGATTTGTTAATCTATCGAGTAACGCACATTGACTAATGCATGAAAAACACGTACATTACCGCCAAGGATGGAGATCGACATATAGTTTATTTTAAATTTAGATGTTGAACAGGGACTGGCTGTTTGGGTTTTATGTGCCATTCAAAATAGGAAATTGGTTTTACCGGCTCGTAACTCGTTTCGGTGTCATTAACATTCCAGCAATAGTTCAGCGCTCAGCGCGAGTTTAGTCCGGAAGCTCACTGGGCCTTTTCAATAGCACGCGCCCCAATTTCTTTCAAATGCCCATCAATCGAAGAAACTCCACCTTTATATGGACCTCCACCCATTGTCTTTGCCATTTTCCGAATAATTCAACCAGTGGCTTGCATTCATTTTCTATACATATAAAAAAAGTGTCTAGTAAAAATACTGAGATGCAGAGCTCTTTTTTTCATATTTGGAGCCTGAGCGATTGCAAATATTTTAACAGTGAAGATCAAGATTTAGCAGTCAGATCCTAAACCTAAACCCTTCTAAGTCCAGTCTCTATTAATCTTCAACACCCAACATTAGTGCATCTTGAAAAACTACGCCACTGAAACTCATTTTCGCTTCAAAGACACGGAAACTAGGAATACCAGTGGAGCTATATAGGTCAGGCATTCTATTTTAAATCGCGGAACATTCGAAAGACTATCTGCACAGGTAAAAATGCCGGGATTGTAGGCGGGGACTGTTTGAAATGTCGATTTTATGGCCTAATTCGATATTTTTTGGGACGGGTAAATCACAATCGAATTATGAATGAAATTTTCAAGGAAAACATCTATCATAGTCCGGGTATAAAATGGCAAACTTTGAAAATTAGTTCGTCGCTTACAATTAGCGGTTTGGTGTCAAAACCATTATCATTTACACAATTTATTCACCAACATTGAGAGACGGGGTCAAGGCCCAGGCTATCAATCTTCCAAAGTAGTTCAAACATCAATACTATTTCTCCGATAGTCGCTTTGCTGCGAAAGTGTTGAGAATTTCGAGATTATCCCGAAAGTTTAACTCCCTAGCTTTTGCTTAATTAATTTTACCTCCTGGCTTTAAACTCCCTCATCAAGAAATTTACCTACCATAAAACTCTCTCAACATTTAAATCTGTTTAGTTACGTTTCGCATAAAGTTTTCACTAGATGCTACGCAAGGTGTCCGAGAATAAATAAAACGTGATTTAAGTAATGCAGTATTGCTGCAAAAAACTGCACTAAAAGATTTGAATTCAAAGAAGCACCCAAATGACCATTCCTAGCAGCAAGTATCTACAATTTGCTTGGCACGCTCTATATATATTACAGTCAAAAAGCGAATTAAATTGCATTTTCTGGTGTAGCAAACATGCAAGAATGATTTGCATAAAATATTAATAAAAATTTTCAATTAACCCGGTATAAAAAAAATCCGCTATCACACTTGGGCGAATTAGACCACGCCCACGTACTAAGCACCGCCACGAATCATCGCAAAGTTGTCGGTAATTGCTGAGGCAGATTTCTGCAACGGTAACAGCACAGCTGTTTAAAGTGCGCTCATTTGACGCTCGCGATGCGTTCGTGCAGCGATTCGACCAATGGAAGTCCGGGCTCGTGTAACGATGGGTATTTTTCGGGAGAAACCTCTGAAACGAACGCGGTATGTTTAAGTGTGTGTCAGTCAGTGTCAGATCAGCAAATTTGTCATCACTTTAAAAGATCTTTTGTGAATTTTCCGGACAAAAATCTTTCTGGAACAAGAAAGGGCGATTTTCCCCATCATTGTGCGCTACATGGTGAAAGTGGTCTTCGGCCTGATGTGTGGTCGTTTGAGGACTGAATCCAGGCTTCTCCCAAAGATTTAGGAGGTTACTTGATGATTTGTATTTAATTCTGGCTATATCAGTTTTGGGAAAAGAATGTCGACCTTTAAAGCGCGAGTGTTGTACGACTTCCAAGGGGAGCCAAACACCGCTGAAATGTCCATTACGGCTGGGGAGTTGCTCACGGTGACCAGAACTGATGTTGGGGATGGTTGGTGGGAAGGACTCAACCCCAAGTGAGTATCCCTGAGGTGCCCTAAAGCAGGCCCTAATTGACATTGACCCCCCAGGGGCGAATCAGGCCTCTTTCCAGAAGCCTATGTGGAAAAAGTGGAGACATCATCCAAGCCCCCCAATATACCGCCCCCAGCTCCACCAAGTCAGCCAGGATGGGGCTTTCCTGGTCAACAGGAGCCCGATCAAGGGGGGCATGATGACGATGATTGGGACGAATGGGACGACGATAATACATACGAAAGCCCACCCTACAGCAATAACATGCCAAAAGCAGAGGGCAACACTCAAAGTACGTAGATTCTATGTGTGGGCGTGTGAGTTGTTTTCATGTTCAAACACCAAAGGGACCAAACAGCACACAAAAGGTAATTATTTTTTTAAGGATATACTTCCGAACAAAACCACAACTTCACTAGACAAAACACACAACAAAGTGATAACGTATCACTAAGTGGAAGTATGATGGGCGACAATAAAGGCACAATCACAAAGAAAAGTTACAACATATTTTCATCTGCTGTTAGAAGTGGATTGGAAGGGTATATTTTAGGTAGGTTGTGTATTAACACACACATAGACATTGGAAGGATCTACTCCAATATTAACCCCAGATCTACATTCCGTTTACACATATTACAGTCCATGTCTTGTCTGTTAAGTGTTTGATTAATTAATCATCTGAACGGCGGGCATCGCAAGAGGAGTCATTCAACTGTTAAAATGGGTAAAATATGCGACATTTTTCTATCAACATTCAAAATATCTGTTGTCGAGTAAACCAGGTAAATTTGTCGAGTTTAATGCGCAAATAAACAGTGCTATCTAACTTGATATTGCCCAGAATTTTATCAGAAGGTGTCGTAAAGCCCACACAATGGCTTTTATTGCCCAATTTATTATACTTCAGCAAGAAAATGTTTTTTTTGGGTGAATTTATTTGCTACATTGTTACATTCCGTAGGGTTTGAGTGTTTTCAATAAATCAATTTTTCAAATGGGTTTTGAATTCTAAATAAAGCTCAGGATATTTGAATGAGTTTTTCAACTAGCACGTTTTGCAATAAAAATAACACATTATATTTTGCAAGTGTCACTGGTCGCTTCTTGTTGGTTCTGTTTGTTGTTTGACAATGGTTTTCCTATTAATTCCCTTCATTCCTTTAAAGGACTAACCAAAGAAGTAAGTGGAACAGCGGCCAGAAAGCCGCATATTTATCGAGACAGTGACGACCAATTGGGTCGTTGGGAAGTACTTTCCAACCCATACACTGTTCAGATCGCCTCCCCGAAAAAAGCCACCAAAATGGGGGGCCTGAAATCCTTTATCGCATATACACTAACGCCTTCCTTTAGTAACGTCGAAGTATCGCGCCGATACAAGCACTTTGATTGGTTGCACGATCGGTTGAATGAAAAATTCAATTTGATTGCCATACCACCCTTACCAGATAAACAGGTACGTTAAGAACAAAACTGATACCTTAGAGAATCGCTACCTTCACCCTGGATAACTGAGAACAGATCGATTTTAGGTATCTGGAAGATATGAAGAAATGTTCATCGAACATCGACGAGCCCAATTGCAGGAGTTTATTAATTATATGTGTCGCCACCCGGTATTATCCACGTGCGATGTTTGGATCCACTTTCTCACCTGTACGGACGCCAAACAATGGAAACAAGGTTCATACGGGGGTTTACTTGTTTAAGGCGCTTTATTTAGTTTAGTTTGATTTAGGTAAAAGAAATGCGGAAAGAGACCAATTGATAGGAGCCAGCTTCTGTCTATGTGTGGAGGCACCTGAAAAGGAAATCATGCCCTCTCTGGTCGAGGTGAAAATCGACGAAAACCTGAAATACGTGGAAAAAATGGACCAGTGCATCAAAAATCTGATGCAAACCGCCCAAGACCAGCAGAAAAAGTGCATAAACATGTACAAAAGAGAGTTTACGCGAGTGGGAGAGGCATTTTTCGCCTTGGGCAGTGCCTTTGAGTACAACCAACAGGGCATGTACTCCAAGGCTTCTGTAGGTGAGTTTAACGCAACATTTCGGATGAATTGCCCACACCACACAACTCCTGGTTAATTCCAGATGTGAAAAACATCGGATCGACCTACATAATGATCGGGAAATTGTATGAGGAACAAGGCAAAATGGATTGGCTGCCATTGTTTGACCAACTATACATCTACAAGGGCATAACGTCGAATCTACCCAATGTGCTTCAGATGCAGAAAATGGCCGAACAGAAGAAGAAAGAGTGCGAACGAAACAATCAGTTGCCTCAGGTGGCGTTAACGGATGTTAGACGACGCTCTGACGTTATTACATATACAGTATTTGCCGAATTGAATCATTTCCAGCAGGAAAGGGACCAAAACTTGAAGCGCGCATTGAAAGATTTTTTGCAGGAACAATTAAATTTTTACAAAAACGTCGTCACGAAAATAGAGGAAACTCTCAATCAGTTTGAGTAGGTTTTCACTGTTGTGACCAGGTGCTTTATATGGAATTACAGGGTGTTTATTCGATTCCAGTAGCCATGCATTTAGCTAAGTGCTCTCTTGCTAAAACACCCTACGAAACACCATGTTGAGTGTGGATGAGAATGAAGCATTTATTATTATTATATTTAATTTTCCTTTAACTTGCATGGGAAATAATGCTTCTAAGTGCTAATCCTTCCATCAAGCACGTCTTGTAACCAATAGGTTTTTTACCTGTACAAAGTATTTTGTGATTGATTTATTATCGCTAGAAATTTATCAATTCTTTTATTGTGTATATAGTTGTCATTGATTGTTTCGATTGCCGATGTACAAAATTTTTATCCATTGTATCTATACATATACATTATCAGGTATTATTTTTATGCGACCAAACAGTAAAAAAAATATTTTATTCATCGTATCCTTAAAATTTGTAATTATTTCTTTGTATAATAAATTTACTATTATTGTAAACAGTGTTTTACTCGTGTTTTATCATCGTCGGATTTTTGTGTTATCTCCCATTATCTGACAGGTTGATATGGATTATAAATTCAGCGTGTGTTTTATGTAAAATGACTACAGTTTGTTAGCGGGTGGCGTTGTGTAATCGATAGACAAATGCGTGGAAACTTTACGCCCACTAAAGTGGGCATTTCAATTGACTTCCCACCAATTTTTTGCGAAGAACTTAAAATAAAAACTGACTCATTATTTATGGGTTTTCGGCTTGATCAACAAAAAAAACTGCATCATTCAAATTCATAAAATGTGTGTGTGTACCGAGGTAGAACCGGCGCGAATCAAGTTGAGAGTTTTTTTGTTGTTAAAACAGCTTTAGTAGATATTCTCATTTTTTCAGAAAAAAACACCAACAACAGCAGTGACAATGCCCTACAGTAACAACGCGAAAGTTCCTTCCGAAGACGGATGCTGCCGAGTTTCCGTTATTAAAGCAGTTTTATATGCATACCAGTTTGTATTTATGGTAAAATTGGCTAAAATTTGTGTTTAGTTGAGCGACTGACGGCCCTCTTTCAGCTAACTGGCATCGGAATAATTGGTGTTGGAGTATGGAAGTACCTGGAGACTTATCACTACTTTACCGTAGCTCATTTGAACATGTATTCAGCGGTTTTGTACTTGTTCATTATTACTGGTTGTCTAGTCATTTGTGCCGTTATTTTTGGGTTTTGTGCCATACCAAAGAATAGAACCAAGTTAATATTCGTTGTAAGTATTCAGTTCGCACTCAATTTAGCTATTATTGTTGCTAATATACGGACAGAAAATGGAAAACTTGGAACTCAGAGCTTTGAGTGGGAATTTTGTTAAATTTCAGCAAATGACTGAGCACCACAAATTTATTGAAATTTTGCACATTGAATGCATAAGGTGTATTCTACTAATGATAACAGCTATAAATCTGTTCAGGTTTGCAAGTTGTGAATTTTTAGCCGTAAGCGCGCAAGTTTGGCACGTTGGAATTTCGTCAGAATTACAAAAGTGAACAGCAACTGAACGAACACTTCCAATCTACTGACATTTTTTACACATAATAACTAAAGTTTCTTCTACAAAATTCCAAAAATGCAGCTTTAAATCTTTGGTAGTTTGGAAGTTGTGAATTTTTAACTATAAGCCAGCATAACTATAAGTTCATGGCTATTTCCCGAATGACACCGAAAATCCAGAAATTTACCGCAACTGAACCAAAACTTCGAATCGACTAAAATATTTTACAGTTAATAACTAAGATTTCGTAAATAAATCTCCCCGATTGAAGCCTTAAATCTGCTCAGGTTTGAGGGTGGCGAATTTTTAAACAAAGGCGTGCACATTTGATGCGATTTTCCGAATTCCACCAATAAAAAAAATACAAAACCTGAACAAAAGTGCCGATTCGATTGATTTTTTTACACTTAATCACTCAGGCTTCTTCTACAAAGTGCTGTCTTAAATCCGTGGCTGTTGCAGGTTGTGAATTTTTAGCCACAAGCGTGTATACTTATCTATGACTATTTCCTTAATCATACCGAAACGTTTGGTACTATTTTTTTAATTACATCAGAATTACAAAAATGTACAGAAACGGAACGAACACCTTAAGTAGATTGAATTTTTTTGCAGTTAATAACCAGGATTTCTTGAATAAATGTCCCCTAGTGCAGCCTTAAATCTGCCCAAGATTGAGAGCTGCAAATTGTTAAACAGAGGCGTTCACATTTAAAAAGATTTTCCCAATTACACCCGATTAAAAAAATACAGGAATTGAGCGAAAGTGTCGAATTGATTGCATTTTTCAATACTTAATAACTAAAGCTCCTGCAACAAATTCCCAAAAAGCCGGCCTTAAATCTGTGGTAGTTTGGAGGGTGTGATTTTTTAACCACAAGCGTGCACATTGATGTCCATTTCCTTTAGACCGAATCTTCAAAAATTTACCAAAACTGAACGAACACTGGAAATCGATTGAAAATTTCTAGATTTAGTAACTAAACCTTTTTCTCTACACACACACCCAAAATTGCATCCTTGAATCTGTTCACCTTTGCAAGCGGTGATTTTTTAACCACAAGCGTGGACGTTTAACGCTCTTTCCTGAATTACACCGAATCTTCAACAATTTATAGAAACTGAACGAACGCTCGAAATCACTTGAAAATTTGTGGATTTAATAACTACTCCTTTTTCTATACACGTCCGAAATCGCAGCCTTAAATATGTTCATCTTTGCAAGTAGTGAATTTTTTACCCGAAATTCGCACATTTTGTGTTATTTTATGAATTACAACGAACCTTAAAAAAATTATAGAAATTGATCTAAGGCTTGCAATCGATTGACATTTTCTACCCTTCAGAATTAAGGCTTATCCTACACATGTCCAGAAACGCAGCCTTAATAAATGGTAGTTTGGAAGTTGTAAATTTTTAACCACAAAAGTGCCCGTCTACGACTATTTCCTGAATTACACCGAAACTTCAAAACATTACCAAAACTGATGGAAAGCTCCTACACTCAATAACCAAGGCTTTTCCTACAAATGACCCAACTTGCAGCCATAAATCTGTCCAAGTCTGTGAGTTGAGAATTTTTATTCACATGCGCGCACTTTAGCGGCAATTTTTTGAATTTCATCAGAATTTCAGAAAATTACAAAAACAGCGAAAGCTTTGAGTCGATTTTTTGCGAAATTTGTAAAATGCCCCAAGCACCAAAGTGCAACGTTCCAAAATTTCGACATTTTTTCGTTCCTAAATGGCTTTTCCAGTTCATTTTAGTTCTGGTGCTAATATTCCTGCTAGAATCACTCGTCGCAATATTGGCATATTTCTACCAGCACAATGTTGCCGAGGACGTGAATCTAAGACTGAACTCCTCATTCCTCGAGAACTACAATCGAAACTCCAAAACAGACTCTGTGGATTTTATCCAGGAAAATGTAAGATTTTTAAGGCTCAAAGGCCGAAAAAGATGCAAAGTGAATTTTCCAGCTTCACTGCTGCGGCGCCCAAACGTTCTCCGACTGGAAGTACAGCAGATGGATCAAAGGATCGCCAGGAATCAAGAACAAAGTCCCGGATTCCTGTTGCAAGACTCCAGAGTTCCTCTGCGGCAAACGCGACCATCCATCGAACATCTACTACGCGGTTAGTGGAGACTTTTTGAAAATTTTCGTGCAAAATTAATCAGTTTAGAATCTTTCAGGGATGTGAAGAGCGACTGGCAGTTATTCTCAAAGTGAGCCTCTGGGTGATATGCGCTGTCTCTTTGGGAGTGAGCGTTTTACAAGTGATCGGAGTGGTGTTTGGCATTAAGTTGTTCCTCAAACTGGAGGCGGACGACCGAAACTACAACCCGAGCACCAATGGAAACGAATCGCTTATTCCGCCGTAGTTTTCCACACTTATTAACAAATTTTCGATGTGTAGACAGCCAATGAATGTGTCATATCTGCCCTATAAAGAATTAGAGGCTTCAACTAGTCAAGAATGAATTATCTGCTTTGTACTTCATAGTTACATAATATGTTAATGTTAGTCACTGGAAATTCTAGAAATTGTTAAAATGTGAAGCTTTAATGTATTCTTTAAGTGTTAGGACTAAGGAAATTGACATCAGCTGTTTCAATGTAATACAAAAAAATATGTATGTTAAACAGAATGTTTTTCAACCTTTTGATGATTTCCTCATGTGTATTAATCAGAGTTATCGGGCTAGATCCAGTTGCAAACTAATCATACAAGATAACGGGCGATATTTGTACCTGATGTTATTTACAACCTGTTAAAACACTGAATGTGAGATGAATGAGGCAAATATGATATGGACTCATTAAATGATAAGATTGTGGCTTGTATGAGTAAGTGCGGGGCTGTTTATGAATCGGCACTCGGACTGCCAGTATTTCATTTCATTTTTCCAACTTTCGGTTCAACTTTAAACCCTTAAAATTCATATTAACAACGGTTTAATAAAACAAAAATAACTAAATAATTGCAAAATCCATCTTTAGGGGCCACAGAGTGAAAATTTGTGTTGACCATGTTGGTGTATAACCGGCGAAATGTGGCTTAACACCACACAGTTTGGGCGCTTGAGCCTACTATGTGTCGGTTGATAAAGCGGTCGTGATTTTTTTGATGACAATGTGGCATTAAAGCCTACTTCTAAGCACAGCAAAGCGTTCTTTGGCTGACATTTGACTATTTTCTGGCATAATTGGTGATTCTTGGAGTTACGCCATTTCGTTGAACAACTTGAGCAAAAATTTGAATTTCGTCTATTGAAGGAGGATTTTCTAAATGTTTTCATACCGATGAAACCCTCCAACTAACACTTTCCCAATATAAACTCGGCCTTTGCTCAGCAAAAACAAATAGCGTAATGTAGAGAGTGGCCCAAAAATCGCCGTCATTCAGCTGAAAATGTACACAAGGCTCACTAGGGCCCTTGGAAGATGAAGCAGCGTATAAAAAGGTTTATTTTCAAAACAGTTGAAGAATGATGTCCATTGAACACCGACCTTTTAAACGCTGTTCATGTAGCGTGTTTCTTTAAATTGGTGACTTGAAACTTTCCATCTGCCACCAAATGATTCAGATGTAATGAAACCGACCAATTGACCAAAAATAATGCTTTTTACTAACAAATGCCTTCAATTAGCAAACGAACGAAGGAAGTCACTTCATCGCAATCACTTTTCATAAGAACCCGAGCAATTGACTGGGCGCCAAATTTACCGCAGGTTCTACTGAAAAATCCATAAGCCAGAACCCAAATTGAAATAATTGTGGGGTCATGATTAGTGCGGTACTTTTGATAATTACATTCTACCCACGTGCAAGTGAACTTCCAGCGGATGCGGTTGAACCCAGTGAAGACTTTGATTTTTTAAAACTTTGGTTGATTCGTTTAACGCTCCCCAACTGCTCCCCATCTAGCCCCCACAAAACAACGATTTTAGCGCACCCTGCCGATGGCTGCTGTCATTACCACACCTGTTTTACCTGCACAGGTAAGAGGGGGAGATTACCTATAGATTATGTCACGTGACCATTCTTAGTCTGAACTACACCAGAATAGCGGCTGGTCATTGAGGAGGATCGAGCTCAGTTTTTTCGACGTTGCAACTGTTTACCAGACGTTTTCCACAACAAAACCGGCCACTTTTCATTGATCAACCAATTCACTAATGAGTAATTAAGGTGGAAGATAAAGCGGTGTACACGTAGAACGTCAGTGTGTTGTGAAACTGAGTAGTGGGAGCGTCGATAGTGCGAGAAAACAATGCAGTCGGTTTGAATGCAAGGATTTTCGGGATTGTTCAACTTTAAAAAGATCAAAAAGTGCTCGAGCACCCAGTTTTTTGTCAGTGTCTTCCGTCAAAGTTAAACAACCGAAGACATCTGCTCAACGACCGCGCAGGTAAATAACCAACGGTTTTTTTTTCAAAAATCTGGTTCCTGATGGCATTTTTCCTGCAAAACTTTTTAGGGCTAAATGCTCATTTAGTAACTAAATTTGGTGCGACAACATTATTTTTCTTCATTTTCTTCGTGCTTCTCGCAATTACGGTTTAATCAAGCCTGTTTGTTATCAGCCATATCTTGGCGAGTCATTAAATACACACTAGGCACATTTTATCCTTAATGTCCCCTTTTATTGTTTATTGATTACTATATTCTTTACGCAAAACCATTTTCCACAAACTCCAGTTTCTCCAAAACGTTTTTAGCACGTATTTGTGTGATTGTTTGCCTTTTATTTCTTCTTGGTGCCTTAACTAGTTTAATTGACTCTAAATATCAAAACACTAACAAAATTACTGGTTTAGATGGCGATGGAATGACCATCAATGTCTTGAAACAAAGTTACTTGGAAGACGCATTAGTGAGTTTATTTTTTTGTTGCATCAAAACCGAAGAAAACCAAAAGTATTTTTCACAGTTTGTTTAAAAAACACACAAAAACTGTCACTGACGCCAAATATTAGCGTTATCTTTCTTAGATAATGAGCAATAATCAAACAAAGACATCATTCCAGTAGGATATTCTATTTTCTTGAATATCTGGTCTAGAAATTACATTACATCCGTACCACTTTCCTCTATTATTGGTACATTTTGTTGCGAGTTTCTAAACAAAGGAACTTTTTCTGATTCTTCTCCCAGTGTCGCGCTATTTTAAAAAAATTCTTACCCAAAATAGGAACTAAATAACGATTTCACGTTAGCGCCGTTAAATACATAATTTTTTAACACACAATCGCATTTTCTGATTCATCTCTCGATGGCACGGTATTTTCCAAAAAAAATCTCCTCCAAATAGAAAATAAATAGTGATTTCATATTAGCGCCATTAAATCGGTAAAACCTTGAATTATTAGTTGCTCAATGTGCACTTTTTCCTCACTTTTTAGCGATTTTTTTCAGCTTCATCTGCCAGAGTCGCGGTATTTTCAAAAAACTCCTCATAACAGGAAATAAATAACGATTTATTACTACCGCCGTTAAATCGCCAAAATATTTCTCTATTAGTGCCTCAATTGACAATCCCTCCACACTTCGTCATTTTTTGCGATTTTTAAACACACAGAAACAGTTTCTGATTCACCTCCCTGCTCTCGCTCTATTAGTGGCGCAATTTACAACTCTGTTGCTCTTTTTTCGAATTTTTCGCGATTTTTTTAACACACCTAAACATTTTCAGCTTTACCAGGCAAAACCCCCGATGTGGCAGCCCGCTAATGAAACTGATTCCTGCTGAAACCAAAGGGGCCAACTAAAAATGTGTAACATCTACCGGACGTTCGTTATTTTCGCCCTTATTCACCTGGCAACAGGCCAGGGCGACTATCAGGCCAACGATCCAGACAATTTGGAAAACAGCGATTCGCAAAACAGTGATTTTTCTAGTGCAACCGAACATCCGGGCGGAACTGTGGACGGTCGACTGACTTTCGAAAAGTCCCTCAGCCCCTATTGGCTGAGAAGCGACCTAATTGTGGAAAGGGACGCGATTTTATTGGTGGAACCCGGAGTGACTGTGAAATTCGATCCACAGGTTGGAATCACCGTGAGAGGAATAATTAACGCTGATGTGAGTAAATGGGTAATTTCGAAACGAAACTAGTTGATCAATGTCTGGTCCTATCACAACCACTTGGGAGCTATTTAGGTGAAAACTACTGGTATCAATTTGGGAAACCAGGCCGGGCAAACAACGGATATTCAAAGCTCCCAATTCCGCGCCTATCTCGATTTATCCGTGTAAATACTTAAACAAACACCGAAAAGGCGGTTTTAAACAGTTGTTGATGGTTGATTTGGCGCTAGATCTTGACCTATTGCACACAAAGGAACCCATTTGGGTGCTTGTATCTTTTTTAGGGTTCTTCACGCTCTTCGTTTGATACCTGTTTATTATTCTCGCTTTATCGTCGAGATAAACAGGTTGCTGGGATGGGTTGGGGTGAAGGAACCCAAATATAATCAAGCGTGAAAGGATCAAGAAATATTTTTAAATAATCCTTGCATTTTCGTCTATTGTCGCAATATTTTCGAAAATTTATTATTGTTACTAAAATTACTGGAATTTTATAACTGTTATAGAAACGATAAAACTCTGCGAATTTGTCGTATTAAATTGAAACTTTCAATATTTCGGTAAATTTTCTAGAATTTTTTTAACAGCGGACTTTCAATTGTTCGCTGCATTTGCATTTGCTTAAAACACTTAAAACATAATTTTTCACAATCAAAGTGGGAAATAGATAGCGACTTGGTATTAACGCCATTTAATCGAGAAATTTCTGTTTCAAAAAATGTGCAAATCAACAAAATTTCCTTAGTTTTCGTCACATTAAGCCGACATTTTGAACGCAAGTTCAAAAACAGTTTGACTGCTGTCGCGTGGTTTTAAAAAATCATTACTTGGAATCTAAAACAGATATATAAAAACGTCATTAGATAGATAAATCTATGCAGAATTGTAATGTTAAGTTGCGACTTTTTGAGTCCTTCGGTGAATTTTCTACAATTTTTTTAAGAGCGGACTCTCAGTTGTACGCATWSMGGTATTCGCTAATAAATAAGTCACCTATTTTTCRAAAATTTCTCAGATAAAATGGCAAGTCTATTTTTATGTTAATTAATAGAGAAATTGTTGCTTGAAAAATGTACAAAATAACAAATTTTTCCCTAGTTTCCGTCAATTTGCGGTCACTTTAAGCGCAAGTTAAAAACAAATTCATTTTCGATTTCTGTCGCGTGATATTCAAAAAAACATTGCTGGAAAACTAAACCAGATACATAAACGGTAAACACGCCATTAGATAGACAAACCCCCACAGAATTGTTGCATCAGTTTTCAACTTTTCGCCTCATTTTGTAATTTTTTCACAATTTTTATATCACCGGGCTCACTGGATCTCACTATGGCAAAACCCTTACAGAAATTGAATGAAACTTTTCTTTTGATTTATCACCAAACAAAACTAAATACAAAACTCAACAAAAATTAAACTACTCTTAAGGACATTTAATAGGAACATTTTGGCTTCATGAATGTGAAAATTTGCAAATTTTCGCAAACTTTTGACAATTTTTTCAATGCACTATTTAACTTTTCGAAATTAACTCCGCTCAAGGTAAGTGCTTTTTACTTGAACTCTTTAAGAGTATTTAGTGCAAACTTAAATCAGATTCAGTTAAAATGAAACTCTGCTGATTTTCTATACATAAATAAAACATTGGTTTATTATAACCATGCATGACCTGAATGAATCAATCGCTGGTTCAATTAAATGAAATTTCCCACCAATAAAACCGGCCAGTTTAATTACATAAGAACAATGAATCATCGCTGATAGTTGATAATAATATTTGTTCGCACCTGCTATTAGTGTTTGTTCACTATATCCCATAAATTCCATTTAAAACATTAAAAAATGCCACTTTTCAGACAGTGTTTGATCTCATTATTAGCCGCATGTTCGGTGTTCGATTTCCTGTAATACAATCTTCCTTTATATGGCATCCATGCGACTCTACACTTGTAGGACTGAGTGACATGCATACTAAATAAATGTCTTCTGTGGAGTTTCAGCAGGAATTTATTTCCGTTTGCTTCCAAGCCCACGCCTGATTCACCTGAATATTTCAATCTTAATTAATTGTTCTCTTGGGCGTATTTCATTTAATTTTTCTTTGTGAACTTTCGGTTCAATTTTAAACCCTTGCAACGAGCAATTACTGTTAACAAATTCGTTTAAATGCCAATTAAATGGTACTTCGAGTCGACGTAATGTTAACTAAATCGCTTCATTAGTCTCTTCAGAGAAAGCTTGCGGTTAAATACATGTTTAATGAAAAGTTGCAAAAAAATTAACCAATACCCTGATCGATTTCATGGCATTAGATCAATTCAAGCATATCTTAACTTGGGTTAAATAACTAAATTTCTTTGATTAAATAATCCAAATCTTCTTGCAATTTCTCTTTAAATCTTGGTGCATCTTTAATGATAGTTTGGAGGTTTAGGGAAATATTTTGAGAGCAACGAGCAATTGTTGTGAAACTTTCCTTTTGCCTGTAAAATGGTTTTTTCTTCAGTTGAAACAATGCGTGTCCGATTTCCGAGGACAAAGCAATTTTGCATTTAAATTTCCCTTTGCTTTTAATAGCGCTTCAATGTGAACTAGATTGTGAAGAAATGAAGAATAAAAACACTTTGTTGCTAGTTTTCGGGTTATAATACCGTCGTCTTTTGACGGAATTTGATCCTAACGTTTCGCTAGCAGGCATTGCTAGTATCTTTAGAGTTAGTGTGGAGAGAAACTGAGGAATGCATAGAGTTTATTGAAAAACTCGTACACTTTCCGTCTTGTTGTTTCATTTATCCTCCAAAGTATTTCAACACTCATAAATTAGATGTAGCAAGGCCAATCTATGCGTTCAACCTAATTATGAAAATGTCCGCACTGATTCATAGAAATGACGCATTTTATGCAGTTTAATGCTTGCAAGACATGGCTAGACCTTGTTCTGTACCATTATCTACTTAAATACATTATATCTAAGCTCCTTTTTGCTGCCATTAGATCCAGAGAGCACAGAGTAAGAAGAAACAAAAAATAATATAAGAACAAACTCTCCAAAAATAGCTCGAGTGCTACATCATTTTCAACGGAAGGAACCGAGAAGTGCCTACCACTCACGATTTTTAACTGACGATATTTTCCTTATTGTACTCCCAAACGCGTCAAATATTGGGGAGTTTCTTAAGTACAAAGGAATAATGATGTCTGAGCTATGCTACAGGCCCTTTGACCAAAAAAATTGCTCCAGTTCTACTTGTTGTTCGTATTGAACATTTCGCAATTCCTTTCCTTCTTTCAGAATTGAGAAATTCGACTAAAATAACCAAAGAAACTTTTCCTTTGCAAGGTAACTGCATAATGAATCACCACCTTAATCATCAGCCAACCACAGACGAATGTAAGCGAATACCTCAACGATACAAAGGCCAATTAACAGTTTTCGGTCAGTTTTTCACAGTTTATGGCTAAATTGGGCGCAATAAAGGCCAATTAGCTTCACTGCATTAACTTCTACCAAATGTTAACGGTAAAGAAACCCGGAAACGAAAAGTTCCGCCAAGTTTTCCTCATAGTCGTTTCCGCCAGTTGCGTTCCGTTCATCTTCAGTCTATTAGAAAATTGTAATTATTGTTGAGTCAACCAACAGAACGTCTTTTGTTAGGCGATTTCAGGTGTCCTGTGACAAGTGGCGCATACAAATGGGACAATTTAAGTCCCACAAGCGCCAACTGAAGCGGAATAATTGTCTGCAATAAGAAAAAATTCAAAACCTCATTGAGCACCCAGATTTGCCAACATGAAAATTTCAATACAAAAGCGTTTCCCATAAAACGAGGTGAATGTGTAATAGGAGCAATAAAGCCTCTAGCATCCGGCCTGAAGTGGTTCTTCTTGTTCCATTTCCAACAGACTGCTTTGGTGCCAATGACCTGAACGACTGTTCTTCGGGAGATGGTACCGTACTAAGTTTAGAACGCATAACGAACTTTCCTAGGCGATTTAAACTCAAGGTAAAAAGATGGTAGCTCTTCGGAAGGTTGACAAAGGAAATTATACAACTGGTAAAGGTCACAACGGCAACGCCACTCTTTGGGTGTTGGTTCTTCAGCCGAGCATGGCCAGAACGAAGAAAGACATGACATCATTAAGCGTGGTGGGATGGCAAACAGAGGAATTTTATGCGCTAGAAGGCCTTGCAACATCGGTTTGCAGTCTGTTCACAATTGAATGTTGCATAACTATTTTATGTTGAATTATTTTTGCTGTTAATGACCAAATGTCCGGACCAAATTCCTATGAGAACCGCCTGATAACCAAAAATCACCCATTGAACAATYGCTGCAACAATTATGACACAAAAAMACCTAAATTTATTTATAGTGGCCMCAAAGTCAAAGTTTTCATAAACCGGGTTGGTAAACAACCGGCGAAATGTGACTTATAGGCCTGGGAAATGTGGTTTAAAGGCCACACAGTTTGGGYGCTTGGGCCTACTATGTAGCTCTTGATGTGGCGGCCGTCACTTTTTCTATGCCAATGTCGCAATAAAACCTACTTCTAAGCACTGCAAAGCGTTCTTTGGCTGACATTTGCCTATTTTATGAAATCATTGGTGATTCTTGGGGTTACGCGAAAGCTTTAACCATTTCGTTGAACATCTTCCAGCAAAAATGCGGTAATATTTCTTATGCGGTAATCTTCCGAGGCTGTTGCTGTCAGTGCAAGCGCCTCTGAAGATCGCTGCCGTGCATGTTAGCGAAACGTCAGGACCCAAAGGTCTGATAACCCAAAAACCTCGAATTGTTCACTATTTATTGCATGCGAATCTTGATCTTTAACCGATTTTCTTCACAGGGAACTGAAAGCGAGCGCATTATTTTCACTGCAGCCGATGAAAGCCAAACGAAAACGATCCTATTCCCGGACATTCGATTGGTGGACGGTCCCACTATTCTAGCTGGGCGACTGCAAATGAAAATCAACGGAAAATGGCGAAGCGTTTGCTCGAATTCGAAAAAGTACCCGCACTCAAACTTAAAAAGACTTTGGCTAACTTTGCGCTTTTGATCCACAGCTGGACCATTGCCGACATGGAAACAGCTTGCCGACAAATGGGCTTCCAAGGCGGCACGTTCTTCCAGTGGTTCAACCGACAAATGCCGCTAAAATCCAGGATTTTATATGAAGAACCGCGATGCTCGGGCACGGAAACCAGTCTGGAACAGTGCGGCTGGAGCAACTATCAAATGGGATCGGGAGTTTGTGATTATCATCCAGATATTGGCATAGCTTGCCAGGCCAGACACGACAATCCCAAGCCCTACTGGAGAGGAATTCGGTAATAATTTAATCCTAACTAAGCCCTTTTAAGAGGAATCACAGGGATGTAAATGTAAATGGTCGAAATCAATAGGACATTTAGATTCCACGATCTAAAAAATCCCCCCACAGAATTTTTTTTGGTATGCATATTCAACGGTATAAAAAGTAACTTTTAAGCAAAATGAGCTTAAGCGCACATAACTGCTCGAGACCCACGAGTCGACAGCTCCATTTTCAAAAATTTGCCATAATTTATCCAAAATTGCCCAAAAATTTCAAGACACACGGATCCAAGAATGCTCCATTTACGAACATTTTTGAGTCCAATAATTTGAGACACCCTGTTTGAACAAGTGGTAACCAAATGCGGTTTTATCTAGATTTGAAAATGCCCACAACGAAAACACGCTGCAAAACACCCTGTTTACCCCCGTGTCCTCGTCCAGCCTACGCTACGTTAATATATACTATGGGGGAGTGGGACGCGACCACAATACCAGCAGCGCCCTCCACGTGGAAGGAGTGCCACCAATCATGGAGAACTTGGAGGTGGTCAGCTCCGCCTACAATGGGCTCAACATCACCAACCCCGGCTCTCCCATATGGATAAACAATTGCACCATCCGAAACAATCGAGGATATGGAGTGTTTATCAACTCCAGCTACGGCTTAACACATTTAGGTGATTCTAATTTCCCGAAATGTCCAATGCCTAACTAACTCCTTGTGAATATTCCAGATGGTTGTGTGATCAACGACAATGGAGGCGACGGAATCCGGTACATCCGCGCAGAAGAACGCCCGGAAGAAAGTGTGGATCGGCGCGGCTACAGCGACTTTTGCCAAGTGGCGGTGATTTCCAGTCAAGTGTTCCCGATCTACGTCTACGCGGAACAGAGCGTGCAGAGCTCCATGGAAAACAATTGCCAGAAAGTCTTCACCACCAGATACGGGCAGGTGTTAACCTTGGACTTCATTCGCGCAGTGACTGATAGGAATGACAGTGCCAGCTTGGCAATCTACGATGGCTCCGCCTTGAATCATCGCCTGATCCAGACCATCTGGATCAGGAACAACACGAGGCCCCAAAGCATCACCACGACTGGCAATCAAATCTACATGATTTTCCAGGCTGAGCCCTACACAGACACGCAGGTCTTCCTCAGGTTGATATCGGGATTGAGCAAAATATACGACCTGAACGTGAGCCGCTCCGACATATCAGAAAACGTCGGGCGAGGAATCGCAGTGGACAATTTAAAATCCCAGGTCCACATCCATAGAACCTCCATATCCAAGAACGAGCATGTGGCCGGAATCCATGTAACCAATGGAGTGGGCGATGTAAATGTAACGCAAAGCCGAGTGAGCTTCAATGAAGGCGACGGTATCAACATCACCTACACTGGTGGATCGAGGAACATTTCCAGATCCTCCATCAGCAGCAACCAAGGCTACGGCGTGGCTGTTTGGTTGAACAACACCAAAGAAACCGAGTTCCTATTCGTCAATCAAACCACTGTGATCCAATATAGCGAAATATACAAAAACCTGGAGGTGGGAGTGTTGCATGGCAACCACTGCGGGCCGGCGCTGTTCAACTTCACTGGCAACTCATTCACCAACTCCTTGAATGATGCCTTGGAAATCCTCTCCTGCTGGTCCCCAACCGAAACCCTTACCACCCTACAGGTGGGCCACAATAAGTTCATAGGAAACGAGAAAATCTCCCTGAAACTATACCCAGCAGTCAACATGCAGGCCAACATAGAATTCAACCATTTCCGGCAGGGCACCTTTGGGGGGCTCCTCATCAAAAACCAGCCACTGCAGGAGTTCAATGTACTCAAAAGCGACATAACAGTGCAACAGAATTACTTCCTTAACAACTCTGGGGTGTTTGTGGCGAATCTGGCCCTCAGCCCATACGCAGAGGAGCAGTATCTACTCTTCACCAGAAACTTTGTTAAAAACAACCGCATTGTGGAGCCCTTTCAACCACTGGATGGTTCAGTGTCCAACTTAAACCCACGGAGCCGCGTAGCGGCTCCCGTTGTCATCGGCTCGAGCAACGTGGAAGTTTACAGGAACATTATCGAAAATCCAGACTCCCAGTACGAGATCGGAAGCCACTTGGAGGATCAGAGCAAAATAATCAACGCTACCTACAACTGGCTGGGGTCGTCGAGCGACCAAATGATCTACCACAGGATTTTTCATCGCTACGACCGCTACAACCTGGCAAAAGTCAGTTTTGTACCGTTTCTGATCCACAATTCCCATCCATTGACCACCAAGATCAATCCTAACCAGCTGTATATCCCCAAGTTCAGCACCTCCGGCTCAGATAAAGTCGGGGGAGAAATCGAGGGCGAAGAGACGTTGTCCAAAGGAGAATACACAGTGGAACGCGACATCACCATCAGGCCAGGCGGTAAATTAACAATCGAACCAGGGGTCACCTTGCGCTTTCCCCCATCCATTGGCATGATGGTAGGCGGACGATTGGAAGCCAGAGGCATCGAGCCCGACAGCATTCAATTCACCTTAAAGGAGAATATTGTCCATCCCCCGGAGAACGATACATATGAAACCGAGGCTTTGATAGTGGAGAGCGACACTGAGGTTGTGCAGCTGGAGCCAAAAAGCCCTATTCGCCTACTAGGTGGACGCGAGGAAACCGAAGGGCGGCTGCAGGTGAAAGTGAACGGCCAATGGGGGACGGTGTGCAACTATGGTTGGACCATTCAGAACGCGGCCTTGGTTTGCCAGCAGTTGGGCTACGTGTTGAATCCCCACGATTGGTATATTGAACGGAACGAGATTCCTGATGCGGGTAAATCGGAGAGCGTCATCCTTTCCAACGTGGCCTGCCAGGACTATGACCTGGATATCACCAAGTGCCAGGCAGAAACAGTGGGGGATTTCGTAAATTCCTGCGACCACGACAACGATGTGGGCATTCGCTGCTATAAAACTTCCTGGGCAGGGGTTCGCTTCGGAGCCCTGGCCGAGAGATCAGACTTACAATATGTGACCATCCAGCAAAGTGGGCTATTAGACTATGCAACCAACACCTTCAAGCCTGCGCTGCAGCTGGACTTTGCCAGACAGAACTTCGAAAGCATCAAAATCGTGAACAATTTCTTCCATGGCTTGGGGGTGATGTACTCCAACATCTACACAGACGACTCGGTGAATATCATAAAAAATTCCGAGTTTTCCAATAACAAGGGCGCAGGTATCACCCTCAAACAGCTGGGCTTGAGCCTGTTGAACAACAAGCTGGAAAACAACTTCATCGGTATTGAGCACAATCCTACTCTATCTGGGCTGCAGCAGCGGGAGCTCGCTGGTTGGTTTATAAAGAACGACGAAGAAACCCACTATGATCCGCTACAGATCCCCGATAGGCCCGATGAAACAGAAATAGAGATTCAAAGAGGGGAAACCAAGTATTTGGTGACTTCAAAGACAACAGGCGACAGCGTGGAAAGATCCTACAGAATCGTATGCGAACCTGGTTGGGTGATTGGCATCCAGCTGCTGAACCCCATTGAGAACAGAAGCAGCGAGAGCATAGTCATCCACGACTCGCTCTCCTACAACCAAAATAGCGACGTGTGGGTTTTGAAAAGAGACTTAACAGTCTTTCCGGGCACGTCTAGCGCCCCTGGAATTATCCTGGACTATGCCAGTGGGTTAAATGCCCTAGGGGGAGCTGTGGTGGTTCTCAGCACCATCAGGGCGCCAGTACAGAATATATACAACAGACGCGTCAAAGGCCCAGTTCCTACTCTGACTGTAAGGAATGGCGTCATCAGGAACAACCAGTTCGGGGTTCAGGCCTCCTACTACAACCGGCACCTGGATGAACTGGGGAATCACTTCCTGAGATCCTCCAACGAGACCATGGTGTTCATAAACTGCGAAATAACACATAATCTCCACGAAGCCTTTTTCGTGCATTCACCCAATTGGGACCTGCATAGAAGCAACCTATCCCAGGTGGTGATTATGCTGAACAAAACCAGCATCTCGGATAATGGCAAGGGAATCTACCAATTTTCTCGAGATATGCGGGCTTCCAACAATCTCTTTCATTACGTGCTACAAGACAACACCATCGAACGAAACAAGGGGGATGGTTTCAACATCGCGCTCCCTTACGTGTGGCAATACAACGAGAACTTCACCCATTTCGTCTACATGGACAACAACACCTTTGTGAACAACAGAAACTTCGCGGTGGACATTGACGGACACTTTGCCGAGGTGAATTTGACTTCCAACGTCTTCAAGGAAAACAAGTGCTCGAACGGGCTGCTGACAATGAAAGGAATGGAGAAAAAGCTGCGAATCTGGAACAATCGATTTTTGGACAACAACTGCAAACACGTGGTGCTTTTCAGCTGCAACAGCCAGTCTGAGATCGTGGGAAGCATTCCAGCGGTGTTCATCTACAACGAGCTGAGAAACAACAAGTATGTGAACATGGGAAGGTCTTTTGGGGTTTTACAGAAGTCGCAAGACCCCCGATTTGTCGTCGGCTTTAAGGGCATTCAAAAGGTGAACATCAACCGAAACCTATTCGCGTCCAACGCGCTGGAATACCAGCTATTGGCAGGCATTAAAACAGCAAAAATCAACGAGTTTCTCAACGTGCGCGAAAACTGGTGGGACACCACTTCGGACAGCGAAATTCAGGAGAAAATATTCGACTTTGACGACTGGAATGATCACGCCATTGCAGAATTCAGGCCCTTTCTCCTCGAAGAGAACTTCCAATCCAGCCACTCTTTCACCTACATTACTAACAACACTCTGGATCTCACCAATTTGAGAGGCCGCATATACGAGGACCTGACACTCAGTTCTAGAACAGAACCTTACATCATCCAATCGGATCTGACTATTTTGCCCAACGTGACTATGACGATCCAACCAGGGGTCACCATGGAATTCGCCCCGAACATTGGCATACTGGTGCTGGGGACTTTGCGAGCTGAGGGTACCGAGGGAAACGAAATCACCATGAGACCTTTGAGGGAGAGTGGGAATTTGTTGATGCCAGAAGAGCCCAAGAGGCTGAAGAGACAGTTGGAGCTGATCGGACAGGAGAGTATTAGGTGAGTTTAGTGTAACAGTGTCTCTTTTACATCAACTACGATTCTCTAAGGTGGGAATTGGACTGCTAAAAGTAAGTAAAACTGGGTTATTATATCTACATCAACTCTTGAACGTGTTCCAGGTTATGCAAAAACCGCGACTGTACATTAGAGGACGAATGGTCGACACCGTACGAAGGTTTCCTCGAATGGTTCAACCAAACCACCCTGCAGTGGATTCCGATGTGCGATTCCAGATTTACCGAGCGAAATGCCCAGGTTGTCTGCCGAGACCTGGGCTTCGATCCTTTGCATGCCTTCTTCGACTTTGATGTGCGGATTGACTTCCACAGCAACTCCCTATCGAGGATCTGGACTTGGCCGGAGCCTCTCCAGTGCAAAGGTAGCTTTCAAACGCCACTGGCTATTGCTCTGGATACATGAGGAACTTTCAGGTACCGAAAAGCGCTACGAGGACTGCCCGATTCGCTTAAACGGCCAGCAGTTCGGGCACAGGCATAAATGCGAGTGGAACAGCAGGTTTGTCTTCATCAATTGCAACAACAAGGCCAAACCGCCCAAGCACAACTTCTGGGGAGGAGTGCGGTTTGCCGATCCAGACTTTGAGCAGCATCTCTACACCCATCGGGTTCATGATATCCACACCCACTCCACCCATCGTGAGGTGGAATCGGTGCTGAGGTTCGTAAAAATCAACGGGGCTGGGATTTTGCATAACGAAAAATCTCCAGCCATACAAAGCATTATCCGAAGTCCCACCATTGAGTATGTGGAGGTGGAGTCATCAGCCAGTCATGGGATCAACTTGATTTCGCCCACTGAAACCATTAACTTGAGAGGAAACACTATTCAGAACTCTTTGGGGGTGGGCGTGAACATCGTGTCTTTGAGTGGAGAAGGGCGCGAGTCAGAGGAGTCCAGTTTCACTCCTTTGAGGGCGATGAATATTCCCTATAACCTCTACAGGTAAGGGAGGGCATGGCCCCAAGCCCAATTTTCCTAACATGTTTAATTTCTTCCAGTCTACTGGACATTTGCGACACCAACAAGGAGATCCGCATAGAAGAAAGAGTGCTGCTCTACTACAAGTACGACAATCACCCAGTCAACTGCATTAAAATCTTCAGAAGCGCCTACGACATCAAGCCGCTGTCTTTGAGGTTTTTGCAGTTCAATCTCTTCAATTCCTCTGTGGCGCATGGTAAACTCCCCCGTCCAACCCAATACAATAGGGCCTTCACCGCTCTTTCTTTTGCAGGAATCCCGGACTTCGTCTCTCTGTACGATGGGGACATTTACAACGTCTCCTCCCAAATCATCGACACAGTGACAATGACCTCCACCAACCAGAAAAAACTCTTTAGGTCGCGTCTTCCAAGCCTAAGCGTCAAACTCTTTGCCAACGGCGCCTCTTCAGACCATGGCTTCATTGCTGAAGTGGTCACGCTGCCCATATCAGCGATAGCTTTTAGTGAGTTTCACCAGCTTTAAAATGAACGTGGATGCAAATTTTCGGGCACTTTTAGGTAGGGACGTTCAACATAACGTCTCATCCTCAGTGATCAACAACAACACGCAAGGAGGCATTTTGTACATGGGGGCTGGGGAGGTCAATCCCATCATCACAATCGAGAGGAACCAGTTCAAAGGCAACTGTAGGCAACTGTATGGGAACTTTACCACCTGCAGGTCTGCAGTGGAGATGGATATTCAAAACACCCAGACATTGTTCTTCCGGGTAAAGTGCTCGATTATTTTCTCCAAGAGTTTTTAATCAACGTTGTTTTCTACAGAGCAATTTGCTTGAACAAAACCAAGGCGGGTTGTATATCAAGGCGGACTCTCGTGGGTCAGCTACATCCCTCCAAGGCTGGATTCACAACAACCTGTTTGTGAACAACTCAAATTTGCCCAGTCTCTACGTGGAGGGACGCCAGTCCTCTCCCTACCAAGAGGTCACCATTTACCGCAACTACTTCACACGAAACAACGCGCGATATCACAACAACATTGTCCTAAAACAGGTGCTGTCCAACTTCACCTACAACTATGTGAAGCGAAACATCGGGCAGCAGAACCTGGAGGTGTCAGGGTTTGATAAAGTGAGGCTGAATATCTACCAGACAACGTCCCACAATGGGTTCTATTAGTGAGTGTTTTCTGGGTTTGGAAGTTTGTTTTTTTTAATTCGTGTTTTTTTGTGTAGCAATTATGCCTTAAAGCCCGAGAGTAAGTCGACTGTTGTTGCTGGTACTGCCGGTCAGCACTATGTGGACAACATATTCTTCAATCCGGACAATGACTACGAAATCATCACTGTAAACCGATCATTGTAAGTACAACTGTACTTTTGCTAGTTCCTAATTTTATACGGGGTGATTGAAGGTTGACTAGATTGGATTAAATCGCAGTTTTCAGTTTGTCTGCCTGGTAGGGAAACGAAGCCAAATTTTAATCACCCTGTAGGTACTGGAAAAGTTATTAATATCTCAAGTGCTCTTGAAGACCGAATTGGGTTTCCAAACTTTTTTCTTGGGTATAAATCATTTTCACCAACCAATCAATAGATTTTAGAAGGAAATTTACCATTTTTATAATATTGATACAATTTTTTGTTGCATGGCGCATGCGCAGATTTGAATTCAATAGGTAAGTGGACGCAAGTCAATCTTGGTATGTTGTGGTTTGGCGCCCCGTTTGTGCAGTTGCAATTATTGTTTTTGTGGCTTGTTTTGTCCAAACAAATGTGGCTTTCTTTTCGTTTTTCTTTATAAATTTACTGCGGTTTTAGACCCAGTATCAAGAACCACTCTTGACTTTCGACTAGTTTAAACACGAGTAAAATTTTAAAGAATAAATAATCATCAGTTTACAGCAAAAAACCGCACTTGAAAGTTGATGGAGTCGCAACAGAAAACCTTAAAAATCTTGTTAAAAAAGCGAATTTTTGCTGTTTGGTTAATAACTATTAATAACTAGCATATATTCTGAACCAAAAGCGATCAGTGAAATAACTTGTTTGGCAATATTGCGAAGAAAAACCATTGAAAAATAATCAACAGCAAACGAAAATTTCATATCACTTCTGTACTCAAAAACCTCCAGAAAGTTCACAAAACTCAAAATGTGAATTCAATTGTGAATTTTCAAATGTGAAATGTTAATTTTTCCAATCCCATTCGTCATACCTGACCACTGTCTAACACAGCGTTAATCTGACCTGAATTAAACGTCAAAACATATTAAAAAATCGCTTTTTCTTGGAAAAAATGGTCGGAAAATCGTTCTCTTAATTCAAGAATACTCTATCTAAGTCACTTGACTTAAATAATCAGTTGCTTTCTAGTGCTTCGTCGAAAGTCTTGGAAATATAAGAAAAAATACCGAAAGCATTTCGAAGGCGCTTTCAACTTTTTCCCGCGTCGCATTTTAACTAATTAAAATTCGATTTTTTAAAAAAGCCTATCAAACGTACCACAAATAGTCGCATTCCCGCGTCGCATTTTAACTAATTAAAATTCGATTTTTTAAAAAAGCCTATCAAACGTACCACAAATAGTCGCATTAATCGCTTTATTTGCCACCTTTCCCACCACCTTTCTTCAGCCTATGGTGTTGGTTTCTTTTAAAAACTCTCAATAAACCAATCAACAGCCATCTGATTATGAATGTTTCTACAGTACGCTACAGCTTTGGAATACGCGAATCGATGCCGCGTACAACTTTTGGGGCACGAATACAACTTTGGCTGTAAGAGGACGCATTAGAGATCAAATGGACGATCCCAAGCTGTTGGAAGTCGTTTACGAGCCATTCTACATGAACAATCAGAGCATTTTGAATGGAAAGTGTCCTCCAGGCTGGGAATTGGTCGGCGAAACGTGCTACATGTACGTGGGTTCACCGATGACTTTTTGGGAAGCCCGAGCCTTCTGCCAGGTATTTTTTGTGTTTTTTTTTTTGGTAAAAATGGGGTTTTAATGGTTAATTTCCAGGCTGATAACGCGTCAATGCCCTATCTGATTGGCAACATCAACTACCTGCCAGTGTACGAGTTTCTGCAACGGCAGTACCAGTGGTTCCTCTACTCGGACCGAGTTTGGGTGCAGCACATTGACCAAATCAATAAATGCACGATTTTCGCTTTTCAAACCGTGGAAATTGATGACTGCAACAGACGCAGTCCTTTTATATGCGAAATTGGTAAAAATTCCTGGAGTTTTCCTTAGAAATTCTTTACTAGGTAAATTTTGAATTCCAGACCCAAAAGTGAGCATTCGCATCATGCCGTTAGCGGATGATTTTGTGACAATTTCCGTGATCAGCAGCTTGGCCTTGGCAGTACTGTTGATCATCGTGGTGATCGCTTTTTGGTGGTACAAGTCCAAGTACAGGCATGCTCAGAGGCTGGAGCGCAGAAACAGCATCAGACAAAGTTTGCACTCATTAAAGTCCGTTGGTTTGTCCTCCACCTCTTTTGCGGACAGCACTTTCAAGAGGAAGGGAAATCAATTGGTAAGTTTTCCTTAATTTCTACCATCTTGAATGGTTAGGAGTCACTATTTCAATTTTACAGGGTTTTTTTGCGCGGTTAGTTTGGGCTAGTTTGCGAGACATCAAGTACGGAGAACACTAAATTTTCTCCAATAGTTACCTACTTGGGTTGGGTTAGTAATTTCTTGATGTTGTTTAAAAGAGGAAACGCAAATCGATTCAGCAAGCGCATTTAGGTACAGGTTCTCGATCAATCGCCTTCAAATTTTGTTTAAAAATACAGTAAATAAAACAGAATCATCAAGAGCGAACAAACCTAGTAGGTGTCACAAGTCCCGAAAAACCTGCATATTTTGCCTGACCTCTAAATTTGCACTTAACAGTCGTTTTGTCCAAACCCACACGGCTGAGATTTCTGACCACTGCCCAATGCAATGTCAGTGCGAAATTTTAAACTGCGTTTTCTTTCAAAAAATCGCACTGCGGCTACGGAAAACACCTCTAATCCGTAGCGAAAACATTCTTCTAATGAAAACTCAACAATTTCTACACAGAAAATGCAAAAATATCCTAGATTTGGCATTTCACATTAAACGTCAGAACATATAAAATAGTTATGTTTTCTTTGGAAAAACTGCAATGTCGGTCAGGAAAATATCGAAAATATGTACATAAAACATTCTATTAAGGGAAACTCGACAATTTTCCGCTGGAAAACGAAAAGATTCGCGAATTTTGAAAAATTTTGAAAAAAACTCACTATCTGGGATAGACAATAGGAAACAACTGACTAACTTGACGTAAGGACATTATTTTTGACATAATTGAAAGTTGTTCGATTTTGAAATGAGCGACTCCTTTTAATGCGACTTAAACATCAAAAGGGTAAAAAATAGTACGTTTCTTTTAATAAAAATTGCTATTTATCGGCAAAATATGGAAACATGTAAAACATAAAAAACAGCTTCTTTTAATGAAAACTACCCACTTTTCGTCTATGATTGGAAAAATGGTCAGATTTGGCAAACATTTGACGAATCTGATGGTCCCCAACGAAACGAATGGCTAACATTGACAGAAACAATGTTTTAAGGCCGCTTTCAAAATAAAATTTGACCTGTTTACAAAATACTCAAAAATGCAGTAAACAACAGCAACAAACTCACCAGACCTCAAAAGTCCTAAAAATCATGCAGAAATTCCTCCAAATTACAAATGTGCACTTAAAGATCGTTTCGGCCAGACCCACCTACTAATTGAGATTTTGGACCACTGCCCAATGTACTCGGAATCTGAGATTAGACGTCAGGGCAAAACTTAAAAACGCGCTTTCTGGCTAAAAATCACACTGCTGATCCGGAAAACCTCGCTAGTGAGCAGCGGAAACATCCTTCAAATGAAAACTCAAAGTTTTTAACCGCGAAGAAGCAAAAATGGTCCGTGTTTTGCATTTTAAAATCGCGACCCTTTTGATATCTTCTGACAGTAAACGTCAGAAGATATCAAAAAGTTACGTTTTCTTTGGAAAAACTGCGTTTCCGGTCAGGAAAATATGAAACTCATGTAAAGTAAACCGTCTTTTAATGGAAACTCGACAATTTCCATCTGAAAAATTAAAAAATTAGCAAACTTCACGGAGCTTATCGCGCACTGACCGCGACATCCACTAGGAAACAACTGACTTACCGGACGTAAGGGCATTATTTTTGACATTGAAAGTCAGTGTCGAACGTCAGAGGGGGTTTTAATTCAATTCTGAGACAAGCAACACTGTATTATCGGACATTAACCATAAGATTCAAGAAAATTTAGCTTTTTTTTAGCCATCGTCCTGTCAGATGGGAAATTATGGAAAACGTCGTAAAAAATTCACGATTCCGATTTTAAAAAGGAGCGACTTCGGATGTTTTAATGCCATTTTTTAAATTAAAATTCGATTTTTTTAATTATCGGCGATTTTCACAATTTCAGTTGCAATTAGGATGGGATGACCAAATCAACAAGTGTTTTTAACCTTTCTGGCTGTTGAATGCGACAAATACATTTCAACCACTCTTGTATTATTCAGAAAATGAACACTTTGTCATCCAAAATGCCTTTAACGATCGAGAAAATCTAAACAATCATTGAGAGAGCTTGCCCTAAAAAGAAGCAAACAGGTCAAATTTTGCAATAAAAACACTCCTAATTAAGTATTACAACATTAACCGACATAGTAAAACTATAGAACAATAATACGCCATGAATTTCGCAATGTGCGAGCTGTTTTTAATCGACTTAATTAACTGTCTCATGCTGCAACCTTAGGAAAACTTAAGAATAACAACAATACATTTGGTTGCAAAACAGTTCGAAACGAGTTTTCACATCAGATCAGCATTAATATTCCTTGCGGAACTCATTCAGTTTTAGTAATTGAAGGGTTTTTTTCAGAGCACCAAGTCCACGGACACACTGACTAAGAACACAGACTACCGGAAAATCGTCAGCAATGGATCAATTGACAGCATGGAAAAGTCTGTTTACAACTCTTCGGTTGAAGATGATCAGTCGTATAACACGTACGAAAGTCAACATCCGAACCCCACTTTCGACTACAGCTCACCAGTGGAATACCACAAAAGTCCGTCGCGCTTCGAAAATTCGTATGCCAAACCCGCCCAGTATGACCTGGCCTTTAAAAATCAAGGCTTCAAAGACACGTCGACCTTTGCCTCCAACAGCAACTACCAATCGCAGGCCGGAAGCGTGCAGGATGAGGCCTCAATCAACGACGAAACGCCCATCATCCAGCCCTACGCTACCAACGCTTTGCCAGTTTATCCTCCAAACGAGTACTACAATACCGACACGTTGCCTCTGCGGGACTTTGAGGAGGAGGAAAAACCCGCCTATAATCCCCAATACAGCCGCGCCCGCCCGGTGGGACTGATGGAGGAGCTCAAATCTCGCATGCCTCCAGCCAGGAAACAATCCCCAACCTACTCAGACCAGCTGGCTCAGAATGGATACAACCCGGCCCACAACATAGTAGGCCTGGCCCATCCTCACAGCGCTCCAGAGTTGGAGCCCAAACCAAGACCCCGCGCAAAAAGTGAGGTTTTGTTGGAAACGAACTTTGACTTTGCTCCTGAGCAAGAGGACTATCCACATCCGTTGGGAGAATCGGCCAAATGGAAGAGTCAGCCTTTGGAAACTGCGATGTAAACGGCGCTTGTGGACTGTAAAATACTGTGATACTAAAGTTTAGGCTTAAGCAAGTAAGTGAGCAAGTGAAGTCCTTTGGAGACGCTGATTTTTTACTGGGACAAGTTCCTCAAAAAGTGCGCTTGTCCGGGGCCTTAATGATCAAAGTCGCCGTCCTTACTGACTGTACGTTGTTTTTGTACATCAGCAGCCTTTCCAGTCTAAGGCCCGCATTTACACGGTGTCCCAAAAGTAATGGCAACAATTTGTAGCACTACTAACCGTAGAAGGAAAGTCAACTAAAACAATCACTCCGAGTATCAGGGGGTTTTGGAGAGTGACGAATCGGATTATAAACTCTGTTTCTTCATACACTAACTGTAATAATAACAATAACACTTCAGATATACCCATACAAAAAAATCAAGAGGAATAAAATCTGGACCTGGTCCTGGCCATGGTGTTTGACTGTATTTCTGTATCCGTTGACTTTTCTTCTGAGGTAAGTTGTGACAGACTTTATAATTTTTACCACATAAATCCGCTATTACATTTTTGACTATTACTTTTTAACGGGCTAAATCGGATGTGATACTTAGCTTACGATCTAAACTGCTCAACAGAAGGTTACGTAGCCAAATTTGTCAAAACTTTGGAACTGGATAAATTCTGCTAGCTTAGAGCGATTTGGTTTCTGTTTGAAGCGATATTAAACCCCATTTGCTTTTTGTTAGTCAATTTTTTTGTAATAATTAAGCACTTTGGATGAATTTTCTAAAGGGCGGTAAGTAAAAAAGGGCAAAATTTCGCAAAGTTCCACATGCTCCTAGTCGAACCAAAAAATGTTTTTTGCCCCTCAACACTCATAGTCTAAAGAGAAACCAAATAGCTAAAAACCGTTATTGACTTTTTCGGCCGTCTATCTGTTTTATTTACAGGGTGGTCTCAAAAATCAACTTTTTGATTTCGCAGCGATAACTTTTCTGTTCTTGGGCCGATTTTCACGATCTTGAGTTCCTGTTGTCCTAAATCATAAACGATTTAGGACAAAATTGTGATATACAGGGTTGCACAAAAAATTACACAAATCAAAATTGTCCCCAAAGTTTATGATTCTAGCAGGCATTAATCTAAAATTAAGTTCATTTTCAAATTTTTTGTTCATTCATGCAACCCGGTATATTGAATTATTATTTTCTTGTCAAGCTCGCTTTGAAGTTTTAGCTTCAACGTGAGGTCAAGATCGTGAAAATCGGACCAAGAGCAGAAAATTTATCGCTGCGAGACCAATAAGTTATTTTTTAGGATCACTGTAAACAAACGAGATGAGCGTAAAATTCAAAAATATTTTTCGAGATATGAATATCTTATATCTTAATGCTTGTGGGGTGTTGAATTAGAAAAAAACCGTTTTTTATTCAACTGAGAACACGCGGAACTTTCACCAATTTTGCATTGTTTCATTTGCCACCCTGTAGAAACTGTTTCACTGACTCCCTAACCGAAAAAGAACTGGACTAAATAACGCTTAAAATAGCAATCAATTTGGTCTAATCAATCAGAAGTTATCCAGTTCCAAAGTTAGTCTAAATTTGTATTGAGCAGTTTAGTTAAACTGACGTTTTTATATATATTTGCGCTTATTTGTTTTTAAAGAATCATCTAATAATAGGTCTGCAATATAGGATTAGTTTTAACCCGAAGAATATTTATGTTAATTGCATTTTACGCCGATATTCTCTAATTATATACGGCATTTCGAAAGTCCAGTTAAGAGTTGTAAATATTGTTGAAACTGCCAGTTGTTGTAAATACTTGCGGTTATTTTCGGGAATGACGAATGCGCTCATCTATCGAACAACATTGTTTTATGTTGACATAGAAAGCGATGTTTTATTATTGTAAACCGAACAGATAACAACTTGTTTAATAAATTTCATTAATTGGATTTATTTTGGGTGTTTTATTTTATCGTTGCTGCTCGAACAATCCGTGCTTCTCACAATGCTTTTTTCAATTGTTGCTTCTCGATAAACTACACAAGCAGTCAATGCATAGAGCTTTTGAAATTATACAAATTTTGGCAGAATATTGTTTTTCTCCAGCCTTTAGTTTTGGATTTATTTGCCAAAAACCTTTTCGGTATTATCCCTTTTTTTGCTAATATTTTCGGAATCAAACAAAATTTGGCATCAGCGTCTCGCGATCTTAACTTGTAACTCTTACGGTTTAGAAAATAGTAAACATAGCAATTGGCCCACCCTGTATAACATTTTCCGGGTTTCCATAGTGACATTCCAAATCAAGACACCATAATATGTACATATTTAGCACGCAAAAATCCTTGGCGCTTGCTTCAATTGTTTAACATAAAACACCCTGTATAGTGTAATTTGCAGGTCAAAAGTAGCGACTTTTCTACGCAATTTTTTCCGTTTGTAACTTTAACGGCCTACAGGGGATGTTCTTGGAACGTTGTCTGAACTACATTGCAACAACATCTGCCAGATTGATCGTTACGTAATTGAATCCAACGCTGTTGCCAGTTGTGCGTGTAAATCTCAGATTCCAATGTGCTGTTTTTTAAAAGGTTTATTCGCATCAACAACGCTTCGTTTGGTAGTGTCTGCAACCATTTTTCAGCCAGAAGTGCGACATTCAGAAGCGCGAATAAACGATTATACCCTACCTTAAAGAGACACATATCTTTATATTGAATTTCACATACACTTGCGAAAAACTGGCAACAATCTATTGGTCCTTGGAGCCGAATGATCATTAGATTACACACATGAACATGACGTCAACATGAGGAGCTGCAGTGTTGCCGATGGTGGCGGCTCTGACTTCAGAACTAACTTGTTATACGTTATGCAACCACTGCGTGCGACAAAGACGGGAAATCGTTATGTGGGCGAACATGAATGCATAGTAAACACTGGCCAATCACAGACAGCTAGGAACCGGGCCTACCTTGTCATCAATGGAAGTAGGGAGGACCCAAAGCGAGCGAAACGGGGAGTTGGGTAGAAAATTTCAGTTTTCTGGCGGATTTCCGGGGTTTTGGTGGGCTACAAGCAGTTTTTTCGCGCTATAGTGGCGATTTGAGGGAGAGAGTGGAAAAAGTGTGCGGCCCGGAGGTGATAAAGGGGTTTTTGCATGGGATTTTGCCATTTCGCAGTCCCTCGTAGTAAGAATGGACCAGTCCGCTGTGATAGTGGAGATCAGCTGAACTAGCCGTTCGTACAAATCAGTAGTAATAAGAACCGGGTGAGCAGCAGTTCGTGGCCTAAGACAATCCATAATGGCAGCAGCCACCATCTAAAATTCCATTTCGTTGTGCCGCTTTCGTGAAAATTTCCGCGTTTTTCTCCTATTTTCCGTCCGTTAACGGTATCGAAAAATCTCTCAAAGTGGCGAATCCATCGGGAAACCGGAAAAAAGACATGCTTAAATTTCTCACGCACAAATTAAAAACTCAGTCAATCAACGAGGAAATCCACAATCAAAAGGTGCGTATGGGTGCATTTGTTTTTATTTTGGTGTGTAGATTCATAGTAACCTCGCTGAAGGTCACAGAAAGCGTAGAAAAAATGGCTGCTGTGGGTCGAAACAGTTGAAGATGCGAACAAAGGAATGCACGGTTCAGGGCCTAACTGTCAATTTTTCTGCTTTCTAATTCCCGCTGAGCGAGATAATAAACCTGTCTAACGATCGTTGTTTTAGATGCTTGCCGATATTTACATTCATTGTGCTTCCGTTTCGGTTTTGGCAAACATTTTCCATTGAAAATTCAGCAAACATTTCCATGCTGTTCCGCATGGCACACGGTCCCATTTGATTTATGAATTGTCCAGTTGAATGGTTCATCAAGAAAAACGAACAAAAATTTTGCGGAAAATCAATAATACCTTTCACCCGTTCGGACTATTTTGATACAAAGCAGGAACAAAGGAAAGTGGAAAATTCGGCGCCGAACATTCGAGCTCTCTGGGATATAACCTATTAACAGTTATTCGGGAAAAGTCCATTTGCTAGGAGAGAAACTGGCACGAATCAAGATTTAAATTATCTGTTATCCGTTACGGTCGAGTAATTTCTGTAGTAGCTTTCGACCACGTGCTAACTCATTGCAGGATTGACTTTTTCACATCACTCTTTATCACCCTTTGTCTTTTTCATTCACCAAATTATCCCTCACCCATATGGACAGCCCAAGCCTTAAGTACAAAAGCACACTCCTCAAAATTCTTCAGCACTTTCATTGTCTAGCTGTTACTAGTTTCTCTCTAGATTTAAACGCCAAAGATTTAGAAAAATTGTCATTGTAAACTGTTATTTTAAGGATACTTTTCGCTGATTTCTTGTCCCTTAAGATGGCAAAATATTTCGGGGTTAGACAGAGAAAAGTAAAATTGAGACGAGCCTCACAATTCAGCAAGAAATTAATTGCGAGAAATCCTCAAATTCCGTTTGTTCTTCAGATGAAGCTGGAAGTCGAAGTCAATTTCCAACTCTTCGATTGGGAGAAGCAAAACATCACGAATCAAACAATTGGACAAATTGAATAAAATAAAAATCTTTAATAAATAGTTCAAAGAAGAAAGCTATTGAAAATGTATTAACTCAAGTCCTTCTGCCCTTTTATTTCTAGCAAATGTTTAAACGAAAGAGTCATGGTATGCTCGTTATAAATATTGACGACAACAAAAACACTGGAGTTCGAGGCATAAAATAAACAAAATTTGAAAAAGTGAGGAACAGAATATTTACAAAATTATTCCCAAGGAGAAGAGAATGAAAATCCTGTCCCTGCGCTATTTTCCTTGCAAGCAAATTCTTCAAAGAAATCATGACAAACCCATTGAAGATATTGAAGATAAGAGAGAAATAAAAGCACTGCTTGAAGTGTGATGCATACAGTTCACAAAGTTGAAAAACGCGAGGAAAAAGGACAGTTTTAAAAATTACCAAAGATGAAAGACTGAAAATTCGTTCTCTGCGCTTTTTTCCTTGCAAGCGAATTCTTCAAAAAAATAAGTCATAAAACATCCATTGAAGATATTGAGGAGAATACAGAAAGCATTGAATTTCGAGGCAGAAAATCCACAAATAAAAAAAAAGACAGGTACCAACATTTTTTAAAGAAGTATTCAAAGCACTTCAAAAGTTAATGATAATCCATTTTCTGCGCTCAATTCCTTGCAAGCAAATGCTTCAAAGAAGAAGTCATAAAATACCTATTAAAAATATTGAAGACAAAAAAGGAAACCACTGAAGTTCGAATGCATAAAAACACCAAATTGAAAAAAGCTAGGTAACAAAAAAACATATTAAAAATTGTTCATGGCATTTTTAGAGACAAAAGTTAATAGAGTGGAGATTACTGCGCTGGTTTTCTTTTTAGAAGAGTTCAAAGAAGTCCGAAAATATTGAAGAAAAAGCATTGAAGTTAGATGCATAAAAAGCAAACATTGAAAAAAAATGAGGAACCCAGAAAAATTTTAAAATTATTCAAAGCGCTTCTATGAATAAAACTGAAGGAAAATGCATCTCTGCGCTCTTTCCGTTGCAAGAAGAATAAAACACCCAGTGAAAAGAAGAGAGAAAGTATTGAAGTTTGATGGACAAAAATCACATAATTGAAAAAAAGTACGAAATCCAGAAAATTTCAAAAGTTATTCAAAAAACTTATAAAGACAAACTCGTCTATAAAGCAAATTCATCAAAGACGAAGCCATCAAAACACCTTTTGAATGAATTGAAGAGCAGAGAGAACGCACTGAAGTTCGATGCATAAAATACACAAAATTTAAAATAGCGAGGAATAATAAAAATTAAAAAAAATTATTCATAGTAGTTTTAAAGACGAAACTTCATGAAAATCCATTTTATGCACTCTTTTTCTTGCTAGCAAAGTATTCGAAGAAGTCCTAAAAGACCCATTGAAAACATTGATGAGAAAAGAGAAAGCACTGAAGTGCGATGCTTTAAAAACGTGAGAAACAAAACAAAATTTCGAAAATTATTCAAAACACTTTTAAAGACGAAAGTTAATGACAATCCATTCTCTGCACTCCTTTTTTTGTTAGCAGATTCTTCTAAGAAGAAGCCACAAAAAACCAGTAGATATATTGAAGGAGAACAGAGAAAACACCAGATTTTCAATTGAATGCTTCAATAAAATATGCAAAATTGAAAAACACAAGTACCTAAGAAATTAAAATAAAACCGAAAAGTGGGATGATAAAAATCCGTTGCTTTCATTGCAAGCAAACTCTTGCAAGAAGAAGTCATTAAAATCAGTTAATATATTGAAAAAAGCAGAAAAACACTAAAGTTTGACTAATAAAATATACAAACATGAACATGGTTGTATATTGTATATTGTATGTTTCAAAGAAGCCACAAAACACCCATTGAAGATATTGTAGAGAAGAGATAAGACATGGAAGTTCGATGCAGAAAATTGGAAAAAACGAGGAAATAACGAATTTCTTTAAAATTAGGTGCCCAAGAAATTCCCAAAAAGGAAATATGGAAATCAATTCCTTGTGACGTTTTGTTTGCAAGAAAATGCTTCAAAAACCGTTGAAGTTCGATGCATAAAATACACGGAATTATAAAAAGCGAATAACAAAAACAAATAAAAAATTACTCGAGATTAGATAACAAAAATCCTTTGTCTACGCCCTTTTCCTGGCAGGCAAACGTCTGAAAAAAGACGTCATCAAAGACCCATAGAAGATTTGACAAGAAGAGAAAAATCACTGATTAGATAAAAAAAAATCGAAAATTTACTCATGCAAAAAATATCGAGGTTTGAAAAAAATCACCAACAATACGCCAACAAAGAAATAAGCCATTAATCCTGTTGCAAAACCTCTCAATCAATCGAAACTACTAGCCATTGTTTCTTTTACAATCAAATACTCTACAGTCATAACTGTACTAAATATGACACTCCGAGTCTTTTGGTGTTTAGTGGAAAATTCCGCAAATTAGAAAAAAGTTTAAATTACCAAAAACTACTCGAATTCCTGCCGAAAAACACGCAAAATTGCACAATTCTCAAGGTTCTAGACACGGTGCAGTGACTCACAAAACTAATATAGAAACACGTGAAGATCACAGATATGAACAATCCAAATAATGAAAAAGTGAATTCTGCAAGCATTACGTAATCGAATGAGACGTGATGACATCAGCACCAATCAAAGAGACGATAATCGATAGATTTTGGAACAAAAATTCAATTTCCTTCAGCGAATTCCTAAAAATTCAAATTCTTCATCTAACGCCCGAAAGTGACCGAAAAAAAATATTCGGTAAATTGAAGACATTGAACCCACAAATGACGACTTGTATCCCCCATCCTGGTGAAATGACAATAATCGTTAAACTTGGTGAAGAGAAAGTGCGCTAGGAAATTGAAGAAACAGAAACCGTTGTAGTTGATTAGAAAGGAATATTATTGCGGTCTTAAAAGCGCCAATTATCATCAACTGGCTGGCCCTTGAATTGTGTGACTGATTTTGTTTATTTTTCTAGGGTGATGAAGATCATGACTCCGGAACTGAAAGCGATGAAGATCTTGACCCCGGAGATTTGCCTTCACCTGGTATGTGACAACAATCAAATGTTGAGAAGCCACATTTAAATATGTTAATAATAGATCGAAAGTCAAAGCAAACATGGGGGAATTTTTGAAGCGATTGAAGAGACAACAAGTCTCCGAGCAAATATTCACGGGGTTAAGTGCACGTACAAGCATAAATAACTCAATTGATAACAGCCCACTTAAATTAATCACTTTTAATCTTGATATGGGAGAGTGACGTGAAACGTTTATTCACTCGCTAAAGGTGATGGGTGTTCAAACAAAGTCTCAACTTAGAATCGTTAGATATCATCCACCAACATTGGAGGAAGCCGTGGAATTGCGCCACATTTTGCGTAATAGTTTGGACCCAAACTTTGAATCGGTCATTTTCCAAAGGTTTTCAGGCCTCGTTAAGGCAAATTGGCACGCCGTCGTGATCGCAGTAAAAAAGCCCGAAATATTATTCTAAGCCACGCTAGAGGCAAGACCTACAATATGTAGATGAAAACGTGGCCCGAAACGTTAAATAGCCGAATACCTAACCTGTTTTCGATGCCAAAACTGGTCGGATGAGTGAGTGATGCCAAATTCTTTTGTTCGCAAAATATGAATTGCTAATTTTCGAATGTATATGTTCCAAGCAAGTGTGTACTTACATGGTCCCGAACTTCTGGGTAGTGACGCAATCATTGTTCTTTTTCCATTACTCGTCCACCGAGCGAGACGGACATTACATGTTCTCTGTCAATATGACATTTGAAATAATGACGTCACTGCCAAATAGCTTGGGACCGACTGTACGTGACTTGTTGACTGACTATGTTGTATGACCTGCTCTAATGATGGTCGTGTTGAGGGCAGGCCAATTATATTTAACTGCAGGAATTTGTCCTGGAAACTGTTTTTTTCCAACCTGGGAACAACACATTGACAAATAGCGTCATAAATAAACCGAGCAATTTGGCTGGAAAGTGATCATTTCTAAATCACCGGCCAGCGGGTTTAGGTAGTAAAAGTGCAACAACCACAAGTACATAGAATTTCGGTTTTGATGTTTATCCAATCGAATAATTCCAGTTGCTAAAATGTAAATTAAAATTTCAACAGTTTGGGCAAAAAATTCACTTGGCCAATTCGCATTATGTAACACAACGGCGGTAACTAGCAATTTCCATGCAACGAGATTAGTAGCATTTTTGTGCAGCAAGTTCGCTTTCATTGCACCGTAATTGGTTAGTGGCTCATTGTTTCATTCAGTAGCGAATTTAACCCGAGTAAGGAACTTTTGTCGAAGCCAAAACGGACGAAAAAAACTTCGAACATGTTCAATCGTTGATTAAGGGATCGGAGGCAACTATTCGCAAAATTGCCAGTTAAAAGATGGTTTCAAATTTCTACAGCCGATCGTTTGAACGCATGGAAGATCTTTTTGCGAAAATTGGGAAAATTCGACTTCGACTTGGACGAACAGGATGAGGAACATAATTAAGAAATTTTAAGGAAGTTAAAGAATATGGGCAAAAGTGGGCGGTTTTCAAACGTATTCTTCTTCGGAACAGAAAAATGTGCAACTTTTCAGTAAAGAATCATAAAAAATGTGGACAATTCTGGAGCTTTTAAAGCCATCAATGTTACAAGACACTAAACGGAAAATTGATCATAGTTTGGAGGACATACATAATTTGATAAATTGACTGTAGTTGTTTTTACCGTCAAACTTCAAAAATTCCTATTGAAAGAAGTAACAATGAAAATGCAACGAAGCTGGCACAGTGTGTTAAAGGGAACCTTTTTTATGGATTGCTGAAATCCATTTGAAGATTTCTGGAAGGGGTTTGAAGATATCCACTTTGAAAGTTTAAGATGCGGAAATGGTCAAACGACTGCAAATTCGTCAAACTTCAAAAATTCATAGTGAAGAAAATGAGAATACAACCAAACACAAGGTGTTAAAGAAACTCTTCTTTATGGATTGCTGAAATCCGCTTGAAGATTTCTGGTCTGGTACTTTGAAAGTTTAAGGTGCGGAAATGGCGAAACGTCTGCAAATTCATAAAATTTAAAAAATTCGTAGTGAAGAAAGTAACACTGGGAAGACAACCAACCTGGCACAAGGTGTTAAAGGAAACCTTATTTATGTACTGCAGAAATCCGTTTGAAGTTGTCTGGCCGGGTTTTGAAGAAATCCACTTTGAAAGTTTAGGGTGCAGAAATGGCCAAATGCCTGAAAATTTGTCAAAGTTAAAAAAATCATAGTGAAGAAAATAGCAATGGGAACTAGCTAGCCAAAGGTGTTAAAGAAGACCTTCTTTATGGATTGCTTAAATCCACTTGAATATATTTGGTCGGGTAAAGAAGAAATCGACTTTAAAAATTTAGGGTGCAGATATGGCTAAATGACTGAAAATTCGTTAAAGTTTAAAAGTTCATAGTGAAGAAAGTAACACTGGCAATACAATTAAACTGGCACAAGGTTTAAAGAAAACCTTATTTATGGACGGCAGAAATTCGTTTAGAGATTTCTGGTCGGGTTATGAAAAAATTTCACTTTGAAAGCTTAGGGTGCAGAAATGGCCAAATGACTGAAAATTTGTCAAAGTTAAAAAAATCATATTGAAGGAAGTAACGATGGGAATACAACCAAAGTAGCACAGTGTGTTAAAGAAAACCTTCTTTGTGGATCGGTAAAATCCGTTTGTTGACATCCGCGCGAGTTATAAAGAAATCCTCTTTTATCGGTTACACACTAATATATTTAATAAAAACTTTCACTTTGCATGTATAAGATTTTTCCGTATTTTAAGCCGATTGTCGCTTAAAATGCCCTAAAATCCATAAAATATTACACTGGGAAAACATTGAAATAAAAATTGGTCGATTTTTCTCATTAAGTACCACTCAAAAACACCCAGGAAGATAGTTGAAAATTGAGAGGATCACTGGTCGAATACCTAATTTGAATATCTAACTAATAAAAAACGAATTATTGAAATCGATAAAAAAATAAAGGTTTTTCGGGGGGTGGAAAGTCTTTGAATATGAAGTAAAATGGTCTTCTAAGTTATCTCTTCTTCTAAGTTATCTGCCTCTGAGCCTTTAAAGGTTGTTTTCCATTTAAATAAAACACTTATGCCAGGCAAATTCGATGGTTATTCAGATAGAAAATATCCCCGAAACTCGTTTTTTTCAACAACCGCAATCGTGAATAGTTGCACCCAATAAAATGTTTGGAAATAACATTTCTTCTGACCCCATCGAAAAATCCACGGCCGATGCCTCAAGAGCTCCATAGTGAGCCCAAATGCCAAAATTGCATGGTGAGCGGTAGGCCTATAGGACACATTTCGCCGGTTATACGCCCAATATGTGCAATGAAATCTTTCGCTTTGTTTGCTCAATTTGCCAATTTGTCCATCTTTTCTTTATGAATTCGTGGAACGACCAGAGCCTATTCTTGAATGACTGAACAGAAGCGAAGCATGAAAATAAAACAAACTGTCGATAAACTATTAGAATTCAATGAAAAAAAAACCGGCATCAAAGCAAATTGTCTACTACTTTTTGGAAACAGAATTTCGGCTTATTGTTTGTTCGGCTTATCGCTTTGTAATCTCTAGGCTATTTTTACAACCTATCGGATTTTTATTAATAAAATCCACCACCATCTAGATAAATCGTCATTAAGGATTGATCAAATCTGCCAGAAAGACAGGCAGTACAATTAATCGACTTTTTTAAATTATAAAAATCGCACCGAAATAGAAAGTTTTGCGTGCATGTGTAAAACTAGCACAAGCACAACGGGGAGTGTGATTTTAAGAAAGTTGGCCTGACGAACGATAAGAGCTATCTGCTGATTGATGAGGAACACACACTCTTATTTGCTGTGTAATTGGACATTTTTTATGGTCCTCAAAATCTTAATCCCAATCAAAGCAACATAATCATACCGAAAAGGTCAAAGGAAATGAACCTACTAAAATAATTATTATTGTTATTAAACTGCCGAAGAAAGTTCATATTGATGACTATTAGGAGAAATCCAAAGAGAGTGACTATTTTTTTCTATGCGTACGATAGAAGAACTTAAGTTTTTTTAAATTTGCCTACAATTTGACATTTTGCTGCTTTTGCATCTCGTTAATTCGCTTGATCATTGCAAATCAATCTTTAGGCAGGTTGAACTTCAATAAATGTGGGCGATTTCAGTTAGAAGCGACAACGGAAAAAAATCCAACAAGTTCCAACCGAAATTGTTGCTAATGAATAACCGGCTCGTCATGTGGTTAAGTAAATAATAAACGGATCGTTAAAACCACAATTCGCACAATCTTGACCTTGTAGATATTTTACACATGTTTGCTTAATTTACTTCACACTGATTGCACATTATACATGTTTGGCGGGCTCGTACATATTTACCTCGCGATAAATTCGAAAAATCGACCCAAAAATACCAGGAATTTTCCTACAGTTACGACAATTTGATTCGGATTTTTGTTTAATTCCATTTCACATTTTTATTTTACTAGAATTTTCCAGCAAAAAGGCCTTCAACTTGGGATTTTCTAGTTTTTTAATATAGAACATAATGCTAACTTGCCATATAGTTCACATAAAATGAAAGTTTTTATTGAACATATTAGTGAATAACCGGCGAAATTTCGCTTATAGGCCTGTCCCTTCAAACGCAGTGCAGCAAGTTGGGCCTACTATGAAGCTCCTGTTGGATCGGCCTTGGATTGATCGATGCGAATCAGCGCGAAGCTCAAACTGTGCAAAACCGATTTTTTCCGAAAAAACCTAAGTACCTCAACGTTGTTTCGCTCACTCTGAAGCGTTCGATTTCAATTAAATTGTCCCAAATGCGTCCCATTCGCCCCCTAAATGAAATGCGGGCCCAACGAAGCCGAAAATCTGTTTCATTGCATAGCGCACAGCCATTAGGTTTAATTAATTCAGAATCAGTGTGTTTTTTTCGTCTCTTTCGAAAACACTAGTCAAGTGTAAACGCGCGA